TTAAGCAGATCCGAGTTTCGCTCAAACCTATAACCACGGCGGGCAATTGCATCCGAAGCGTCGAAATAATTTATAGTAAAATCTGGATGTTCGTCGCAGTATTTAAGCAGTAGGCTGGCATAATCATCGGATAATCGACGATCTCGCATTTTGAATTTGGTCTGACAATAAATTCAAGGTTGTTCGGCTTCAGGTTTTGCATCCAAAAAACCGTCAAAAAGCACTGATTGCTAATTTTAATTAATTCTGTCTGTCCGAACTTTTTGCTACTAATTATAATATTGGACGAGTTGTTTCAATTTTAATTTTAGAAATCATGTGATGCCGCACAAAAGGTCGAGCTCTGACGTTACAGTTGACGCACGGATAGGTTCGACCAGTCCATTCAAGCAGCCAAACGAGAATGTAGTTACTCGTAGAAGCTCAAATGACAACATAGCGCAAAATTTACTGGCAGACAAAAGTTATTACCTTTATATTAGCTATTACATTTCTTTTAGAACCCGATTATAAGACACCATTGTAAATCTATGTATATCTTTATCTATACTTCTATATTTGGTGTTTCACACGAATCATGCTCTTGAAAATCTTGACGTTAATGTTCACTTCACGTTAATGTTGGTATGTTAACGTTCAGATTTTGCAACGTTTAAACTGTTTACCGAATTCAAAGTTCTGAAATATTCTCTACAAATGTTGTCATACGTCTGGTTATCTATAAGAAGAATTGAATACAAATTTCTCATGACATCTCGTTTTTCATCATGCGTCTTTTTTGGAGCGGGGATGTTTTAACTTAAGTCTTTTTCTTTTTTTTTCGCATCGCGAACTTGAAAGTTTTTTTCATTTCAGTGATTTCAGAATAGTTACAAATCAGCTACCTTATGGTGTTTGTTGTGATTTTGCAGATTAAGAGAAAATGAACACCTTATGGTTGTGCGATGTCAGCGTTGTTGAATCTGGCCTCAAAACTTGACTGCTCAAATCCTTTTGGTTTGCAAGATTTGACGATTTTGTATTTTTTTTAAAGGAATCGGATTTAGTTGTCGGTATTTGAATTTTGTGCAGCAATCCGCAACCCCTTATGCATAGTAAAGAGCTGAGTAGCGGGAAGCCTATTTTAGTTCTTGTGTAGTTAATCGATTCCAGGTAGCTTTCTTGTCTTTGCTTTAAGTTGTTTTTCACTTAGTCGGAGCAGCGGCACCGGTCCATCCGAAAATCAGCAAATCCAGGAACGGCAAAATCCCATCCGAATTAATTCTCTCTAGAGTGAATTGCAGATTTGGATGAAGAGAATTGGCGGCATCGAGAAGACAACTCGGCTTCTCTCTGACTGTTCTAACAATGTCATCCACATACCTGAGGGACAGTTTCACCTGGGGAGTATCCTTCTCCTTGTTCTTTGCTCGGCAGCAGATTTCACAGTACTGGACTATCTCGGTTATTGATGAGTATACGTCATCGGATATTTTTCCGCATTTCAGATGATACCAGTTTCGGCAACTCTTGCATTCAACACCTTTTGATCTATATGTGACTTTCATGCTGCAAAATGGGCACAAGCCGTTTTTGTCATTATTTTGCTGTATCTCCGTTCCCACCGGCATTTCTTGTCTTAGAGCAAACTCGTACTCTTTCAGCCATAAGTTTGCCAGAATTACAGCGAGGGACGCGCCCATTGCTAAGCCAGCATCTTGTACATACCATGAATCATTACACTTGAAATATACTTTGCTGACCGCCATATTCAAAAGCCTTTTCATGGTTGCTCTTTGAATTTCTATTTAATTTTTATAATCTCCATACGTTTAACGTTATTTATTTTTTCGTAATTTATAAATTATCAAGGTTCTTTTGACTGGATGAAATGATGAAGGAATTGTGTAGTTACTTCGGTTATCGTAAAACTTCGGTTATCGGTTATCGCTTGCTGAGGTATCTATGGCAACACTGCAGAGTATGTTATCTGTACATGGACACTGACACTTAGAAACTGTAATAAAAACATGAATCATAGTATAGAGAGTTGCAAAAAGTTCGGACAGACAGAATTAATTAAAAAGAGGAACTGTCCAGAAATTAACGGAAATTAAAACTGAAATAAACATAACGTCGAAAGTTGATAAAGCAGAGTTACGGGATCTACTTAACAATCCCCCTTTAAAGAAAGGGGAGGAGATCGTTAATAAGATTACTTCCAGCGAACTTCCGACCAATCAGAAAGCAGCAAAAATCAAATTTACATACAATGCTGTAGTGCAAATTTACTGTTTTCATTTACAGGGGTGGAGATTCTTTAGTAAATACAACAAGGGGGGAGACTGTTAAGCAGATCCGAGTTTCGCTCAAACCTATAACCACGGCGGGCAATTGCATCCGAAGCGTCGAAATAATTTATAGTAAAATCTGGATGTTCGTCGCAGTATTTAAGCAGTAGGCTGGCATAATCATCGGATAATCGACGATCTCGCATTTTGAATTTGGTCTGACAATAAATTCAAGGTTGTTCGGCTTCAGGTTTTGCATGCAAAAAACCGTCAAAAAGCACTGATTGCTAATTTTAATTAATTCTGTCTGTCCGAACTTTTTGCTACTAATTATAATATTGGACGAGTTGTTTCAATTTTAATTTTAGAAATCATGTGATGCCGCACAAAAGGTCGAGCTCTGACGTTACAGTTGACGCACGGATAGGTTCGACCAGTCCATTCAAGCAGCCAAACGAGAATGTAGTTACTCGTAGAAGCTCAAATGACAACATAGCGCAAAATTTACTGGCAGACAAAAGTTATTACCTTTATATTAGCTATTACATTTCTTTTAGAACCCGATTATAAGACACCATTGTAAATCTATGTATATCTTTATCTATACTTCTATATTTGGTGTTTCACACGAATCATGCTCTTGAAAATCTTGACGTTAATGTTCACTTCACGTTAATGTTGGTATGTTAACGTTCAGATTTTGCAACGTTTAAACTGTTTACCGAATTCAAAGTTCTGAAATATTCTCTACAAATGTTGTCATACGTCTGGTTATCTATAAGAAGAATTGAATACAAATTTCTCATGACATCTCGTTTTTCATCATGCGTCTTTTTTGGAGCGGGGATGTTTTAACTTAAGTCTTTTTCTTTTTTTTTCGCATCGCGAACTTGAAAGTTTTTTTCATTTCAGTGATTTCAGAATAGTTACAAATCAGCTACCTTATGGTGTTTGTTGTGATTTTGCAGATTAAGAGAAAATGAACACCTTATGGTTGTGCGATGTCAGCGTTTCTCCGATGTCAGCGTTTCTCCGTTGTGCGATGTCAGCGTTGTTGAATCTGGCCTCAAAACTTGACTGCTCAAATCCTTTTGGTTTGCAAGATTTGACGATTTTGTATTTTTTTTAAAGGAATCGGATTTAGTTGTCGGTATTTGAATTTTGTGCAGCAATCCGCAACCCCTTATGCATAGTAAAGAGCTGAGTAGCGGGAAGCCTATTTTAGTTCTTGTGTAGTTAATCGATTCCAGGTAGCTTTCTTGTCTTTGCTTTAAGTTGTTTTTCACTTAGTCGGAGCAGCGGCACCGGTCCATCCGAAAATCAGCAAATCCAGGAACGGCAAAATCCCATCCGAATTAATTCTCTCTAGAGTGAATTGCAGATTTGGATGAAGAGAATTGGCGGCATCGAGAAGACAACTCGGCTTCTCTCTGACTGTTCTAACAATGTCATCCACATACCTGAGGGACAGTTTCACCTGGGGAGTATCCTTCTCCTTGTTCTTTGCTCGGCAGCAGATTTCACAGTACTGGACTATCTCGGTTATTGATGAGTATACGTCATCGGATATTTTTCCGCATTTCAGATGATACCAGTTTCGGCAACTCTTGCATTCAACACCTTTTGATCTATATGCGACTTTCATGCTGCAAAATGGGCACAAGCCGTTTTTGTCATTATTTTGCTGTATCTCCGTTCCCACCGGCATTTCTTGTCTTAGAGCAAACTCGTACTCTTTCAGCCATAAGTTTGCCAGAATAACAGCGAGGGACGCGCCCATTGCTAAGCCAGCATCTTGTACATACCATGAATCATTACACTTGAAATATACTTTGCTGACCGCCATATTCAAAAGCCTTTTCATGGTTGCTCTTTGAATTTCTATTTAATTTTTATAATCTCTATACGTTTAACGTTATTTATTTTTTCGTAATTTATAAATTATCAAGGTTCTTTTGACTGGATGAAATGATGAAGGAATTGTGTAGTTACTTCGGTTATCGTAAAACTTCGGTTATCGGTTATCGCTTGCTGAGGTATCTATGGCAAAACTGCAGAGTATGTTATCTGTACATGGACACTGACACTTAGAAACTGTAATAAAAACATGAATCATAGTATAGAGAGTTGCAAAAAGTTCGGACAGACAGAATTAATTAAAAAGAGGAACTGTCCAGAAATTAACGGAAATTAAAACTGAAATAAACATAACGTCGAAAGTTGATGAAGCAGAGTTACGGGATCTACTTAACAATCCCCCTTTAAAGAAAGGGGAGGAGATCGTTAATAAGATTACTTCCAGCGAACTTCCGACCAATCAGAAAGCAGCAAAAATCAAATTTACATACAATGCTGTAGTGCAAATTTACTGTTTTCATTTACAGGGGTGGAGATTCTTTAGTAAATACAACAAGGGGGGAGACTGTTAAGCAGATCCGAGTTTCGCTCAAACCTATAACCACGGCGGGCAATTGCATCCGAAGCGTCGATATAATTTATAGTAAAATCTGGATGTTCGTCGCAGTATTTAAGCAGTAGGCTGGCATAATCATCGGATAATCGACGATCTCGCATTTTGAATTTGGTCTGACAATAAATTCAAGGTTGTTCGGCTTCAGGTTTTGCATGCAAAAAACCGTCAAAAAGCAGTGATTGCTCATTTTAATTAATTCTGTCTGTCCGAACTTTTTGCTACTAATTATAATATTGGACGAGTTGTTTTAATTTTAATTTTAGAAATCATGTGATGCCGCACAAAAGGTCGAGCTCTGACGTTACAGTTGACGCACGGATAGGTTCGACCAGTCCATTCAAGCAGCCAAACGAGAATGTAGTTACTCGTAGAAGCTCAAATGACAACATAGCGAAAAATTTACTGGCAGACAAAAGTTATTACCTTTATATTAGCTATTACATTTCTTTTAGAACCCGATTATAAGACACCATTGTAAATCCATGTATATCTTTATCTATATTTGGTGTTTCACACGAATCATGCTCTTGAAAATCTTGACGTTAATGTTCACTTCACGTTAATGTTGGTATGTTAACGTTCAGATTTTGCAACGTTTAAACTGTTTACCGAATTCAAAGTTCTGAAATATTCTCTACAAATGTTGTCATACGTCTGGTTATCTATAAGAAGAATTGAATACAAATTTCTCATGACATCTCGTTTTTCATCATGCGTCTTTTTTGGAGCGGGAATGTTTTAACTTAAGTCTTTTTCTTTTTTTTTCGCATCGCGAACTTGAAAGTTTTTTTCATTTCAGTGATTTCAGAATAGTTACAAATCAGCTACCTTATGGTGTTTGTTGTGATTTTGCAGATTAAGAGAAAATGAACACCTTATGGTTGTGCGATGTCAGCGTTTCTCCGGAGTTGTTGAATCTGGCCTCAAAACTTGACTGCTCAAATCCTTTTGGTTTGCAAGATTTGACGATTTTGTATTTTTTTAAAGGAATCGGATTTAGTTGTCGGTATTTGAATTTTGTGCAGCAATCCGCAACCCCTTATGCATAGTAAAGAGCTGAGTAGCGGGAAGCCTATTTTAGTTCTTGTGTAGTTAATCGATTCCAGGTAGCTTTCTTGTCTTTGCTTTAAGTTGTTTTTCACTTAGTCGGAGCAGCGGCACCGGTCCATCCGAAAATCAGCGGGCAGAGGCTACTGTGCTCTACGTTGAAATTTTTTTGCTGATATTTGGAGTTCTTCAGTGTTTCGTGATATTTGTATGTGTCTTTGGGCACTTTTCGCGATGTTTTCGCGTCTTTCAGCAGTTTTCGCGATTCTTTCAGCAGTTTTCGGGGTTGAAAATCTTCATCGAAGAAAGCGCGACTAATTCGTGAAACCGTGAGTCCGTCTGCTTTATTGTCAGCGACGGCTGAAGTTTCGGCTGAATTTCGACGTCATGGCAAACGTTGTTCATGAGGTTGGCGAATATGTCTCAAATTTCACGTGTGTGTAACCGCCCTTTGCACAGTGTAGGACATTAGTCAGGTTAAAATTTGCACCACATGCACTAATGAGTGGGGTTTTGGTCGGTTCCCATTCGTATCTTAAATAAATACCATCTCTGAAATATTTAGGTTGAAGATGTATCTGCTTAGTCGTAGAGCATTGAGCAAGTTAGAGGCTCCCTTTTTGGAGGTCAGTTCGATAGCATATCAGTTTCATCCAAGGAGTTTATGAGATTTGTTTCTTACACAAGTTTTTTCCTGCTGTGTTTTTGATTTAACAGGATCTTGAGATTGCAGTACTAGTGATATTTCCTTAGACCGCTCTAAATAATTTTCATAGTCGGATGGCAGCTTGATATTAAGGCAGCCCAATATAAGGGATAAGTTAAATTAAATATCTCATGTAACTTTTTTTTTGTTTCTAAGTTTGCCATAGCATCAGGCGTTGTCCTGTTTCAAAATGAAAATTTTCCTAAACGCCTTTAGTATAGCCAGCATAAACGCTTTATGGGGAAGTTTTGGCGATTTTGATTTTTATTCAAATTTTTGATATGCTCATTGTGTTGAAATTTAAGGAGCTTTTTACATTCAGAATCTGTTTGTATAACAGAATGAAGCTTTGGGGCGCCTGCCTTTTTAGTGATTCCTGCATTTTCGAAGAATTTCTTGGCTTCGTCGAGTTTTTCATCTTAGACTATTAGCTGGCATTTGGATGCTTTAACATGGTAGTCAAAGAATTTACCTTGTGATACAGTTTTGTCTAAGACAGTTCTTAGATTGCCTAATGTACCGACTGCGTTAGTGTCGTCTGCGTATCTTTTCTTGGTTACGTTGTCTACTGATAAATTTTTTTGAAGGGCTTTATGGCTAGACCGTACATGGCTCGTGCCAACGGATCCCCTTTGGTTGTCCCTTCTTGGAATTAGATAGTTTTCCATTTAGTGAGTTGAAAGCGTTTTCAGTATCTATTAGTAAAACCGAATCGGCGGAGGTTTTGCTGTATTCATCTCGTAGCGTGTGGATCGCATATTCATTGCCACATTTTTGTCGAAGACAGAGTTGGTAGTTTGAATAAAGCGACATGAGCTCGTTTTTAGGCTTTTGGCTATTGTTCGTCCTGTTATCCTACGCATAACTTCGGGGTTCTTATCTAAAGGTATTAATCTATTTGCGTTTTATGCTTCCGTTAGTATTACTTAGCTAGTAATTTTTTTCAGGCCCGTTTCAGGTTTAAATATTATCTTTTCACCAAAAATTCTCATTTTTTTGCGGGTTCCCAGTTTTCGTGCTACTTTCTCTCGGTTCAATTTCCGTTTTATAAACGCCATTTTTTTGTCTGTTAGAGTTTATAATCATAACTTTTTAAAGCTAGAGTTTTGTTTCAGTTAAAGTAGTTTTTGTTATAAGTGAAACTTCACTTCACAAATTTGTAAACTTACCATGTCTCATTCTCTAAGAGCTGTTTGTTAACTTCATCTGATTCTAATATGAAATTTTTGTAGCTGTAATTTTTCAACTTTTGACAAGTTATTTTATCAAGTAGTTTTTTTCGAACATAATTTCTCAGAATTTTTTGGCTGTTTTTTTTTTCATTCACTGTTTTGTTGCGCAATGTGTTTTTTCATTGCAAGTGTTGAATTTGATTTTGTAACCCTATGATGAGTTGATATTAGGGTACTCCCAGGTGCTGTAATTCCAACCACTAAAGTTGACTGCTCAATTGTTTAAATTGAAATATGACGTCAGAAAACTTTAAATTTGAAGAGATTGTTCTTTAAATTTGAAATTTGCAACCATATAGTCTGGCGCTGACAGAGTTATCGCAGGGTTTGAAAATCTGGCCACCAATAGTGAAAGCACAAGTTATATAAGTTTTTGAGATTGTGGCTCCCAAATATAAATCAGGCCGTTTTAATTTCCGAGAGATGTTTTTTTTTTCAAAAAATTGAAATTCTCGACACTAGGGAGGGTGATGTCAAGGTCAAAGGGATTGAGGGGAATGGGGCGTTGTCGCAGACTTGGCTTCAAATATGCCTGCTCAAAATTGTATCTCTAAGTTTCAAGATATGACGTTTTTATGAATTGCTATTCTAAGGGTGACATTCTTGAGTCATGGTGAACTGATGTCAGGGTACTCCCAGGGGTTGCAAATCGTTCAATGCTGTTGGATGCTTCCAGTCTTTTTTAACGGTTGCATCAAATTCTTTTGTTGTATTTTTTGTTTCAGAAAGCAATTTTCACGTTCATTAGTCATTTGAAGCAATTTAGATGCGAGTCATACGCTAGTTGCTTTTCAAATCTGATTCATGACCGAAAGTGTTTTTTTTTAAAGATTTGCTCACTTCCCTGCTAAATTTCGTTAAAATAATGCTAGTGAAGGTCATTTCAGCGCTACCGAGTAAATTATACCCAACATTTTGAGCTTAAACGGATTGTTCGGTGTCTGTAATGTCAAAAAAATTCGCGAAAAGGCCGTCTGATAAGTTCAATGACCGCATATATCAGATTCATCTCATCTGCTGCGATTATCAAAAACTTGCTAGCTGCAAAGCTTATGGAAAACGTTGTATAAATTTCGACGTACCAAATAAAGCTTTTTTCATCCGAGATAATTTACGAACTCGGTGGCGATAAGTCTTGGGGTAATCCTTCTTGAATTTTGATAAAAAATGATCTCAAAGATATACATGGTGACGAAGTTGGTCTTAAACAATTTTATGAAGTCTGATCCAAATTTCATAATAAAAATTAGCCTTGAAATAGCAAGTGTATTGCAATCGGACACTAGATTTTTTTCCCGAAAACATTTTTGTCCACAGATTTCAGCATGCGTTCGATACACGACATGCTTGCAGTATGTGCGTCGTATGCTTACGCTGATTGGTCTATTGCCCTCACTGCGCATCCTTATTAGTGTTTTTCTAATAATTTCGCAGTTCAAATTTTTTTAAGATTTTTTTTTGTATTTTTTGAGTTTTTGACTTCGTTGCTTTCGGTTTACTTTTTTTCGGCTTAGCTTACGCTTTTTTTTACCATTTAGCTAAATTGCTTTCGATTTTCAGTTTTTCTTTACATCATAGTGCTTTTAATGTTCTGGTTTACCTCTGCTGTTTGTTCCCAAATCTCAGATTTTGGTTTCAATAGGTAGAACGGGTTGTGGAAAGCTCTGGCATTTAAATCATTGCGTCCATGTTTTTACACAAAAAGTTATGACCCTCAAAAAAGTCAAATTTTTGATTTTGTGGCTGTTTTTTCAAACTTTTAGACTTTTCTCCAGAACTACCCGCCGAAATCTCAGATTTTGGTTTCAATAGGTACAAAAGGTTGTGGGAAGCTATCCTGCATAAACAATAACGCCTAATTTTTTTAAACCAAGAAGTTATGATGCTCCGAAAAATGTAGTTTTCGATTATTTGAACGTTTTTCAAACTTTTTCTTGAAAAGTACTCTCCTAAAGTCTGAAGTTTTGGTTTCATTGAGTAGAATGGGTTAAGGGAAGCTCCGCTGCATAAACGATTAGGCGTAACTTCTTTTACACTAAAAGTTATGTCGCTCGGAAAATCCAAGTTTTCGATTTCTTTTACCGTTTTTTGAAGCCTTTTTCACTTCTCTCGATAACTCTCCACCCAAATCTAATGAGCAACGATTTAAGCATCTTTCACTTTAACACAAACTGAAGTAATTGATGGAATTAACAGATTTTGAAATCATTAAAATCGGATTTACTTTTCTTTGCTATAAATCTGTTTTTGAAATTACACTTGTCCTTCCGCATCAATACATGAAATTCATAAATTATCAAAACGGTATTTCAAGCTGAAGGTGTGGCCTCTAGTTCTTTTTTGATAAAAATAGTTCTAATGAAATTGTATGGCATCGGTTTTTTTTTTGTATTATCTATACTATATTTAAATGCGAGTGACAGCTATCTCCCATGTTTAAGCATAATAATTTTGAATGTTTAAAGAAAGAATTTTTTCATGTTTAAGCTATAGCATATATTGCAATGCTTAAGAAAAATTTTCAATTAGTATTTTTTTCGAGGCCAAATTGAGTCTGTCTGTCTGTATACCTGCTTTTTTAATTAATTTTTTTTATGTCTGTCTACCCGTCTCCCAATTTTTCAACTTTCATCTAGTTAATATTGATTTTTTCTCGTTTTCTCAAAAAGTACTCTACCAGTTTTCAAAAGAGTGGTTTTAATGGGAAGTCCGGCCACTCTTTTGCGTGCCTGCATACTCTCTTATCCTCTTTTTACCTCGCCCCACTTTCTACAGCCTTAGAAAAAGTGTGGGGGATTTTTGACCAAAATTTTTGGATTTTTATATTTTCTCGCAAAGTACCCTCGCAAATCTGTGGCTTCATTGGGTAGAACAGGGAAGCTCCCCTGCATCAGTGGTTTCAGTCAATTACTTTTACACAAAAAATCTGACCCTCGGAAAAGTCGATTTTTTGACTTTTTTTCTGAAACTTTGTCTTTCCTCAAAAACTCTCCTCACGAATCTGAGATATTGGTTTCAGTGTGAAAAACGGGTTGTGGGAAGCTCCATTTCATAAGCGGTTACACCCAGTTTTTTTTACACAAATGATAATGACACTCGGAAAATTCAATTTTTTTGCAGTTTTTGAAAAGTCAAAACTTCGTTTTCAGCAGTTTTTCTACAATTGGTTATTAAAGGTTTAATCGAGGCAACAGGTTGTAAAAAGCCTCCTTGTATAAGCTGCTAAACATTACAGTTTGAACAAGAAACGTGTTTCTGGAAAACTCTAAAGTCAGTCATTGTTTCATAGAGCAACAAACATGGTTTTGGGTGAAGCCCAATGCTTTAATTGTTCAAGTTACCTACTTCACCCCGCATCAATACAACAACTCAAAAATATCGGTACCTACAGCTTTAGCTGAGCCTCTATTAGCACTTTAGCTTCAAGGTATCATTGATCTGTAGCGTAGAGGCGTTGAAGGAGACCCGCAACAAAATAGGAGGGTTTGAACCTGGGCAGGGTCGGATTTTATTAATGAATATACAAGTTTAAATGCGTCCGCTCTATAAATTGAAGCTTGCTAATTGGTTAATTTCATTGACTGGTATTGCTAATGCGTTATAATTGGCTTGCGTCACTTAGCAATTATGTAGACTCATAATTGGCTGCGTCACTTGTGAAATTTTGTAGACTCAAAGTTTTACTCATTCAGTTTTTCCCAGTAGCGCTATCGGTCATGTTTTTGCTTGCGTGTTTAACCTTTACATCGTATTTATTTCTTTTTTTTTGTTTTTTTTTCGATTAAAGATTTTTTTGCTGCCCAGTTGATTTCCGCCTATATTTTTTTTGCTTAGTGACTTAATTTCGAGTTGTTTCTATAGAAACCTATTTTTTATGCTCACATCTGGATTGCACAAATGCTTAACATCTTAAAAGAATTTTTTTTTCGGCTTGGTAGGTTTCGGCCTTGATAATATCGGCCTCATATTGCATCTTTCGACAAGCGAAAAAAATGTGTATGTGTGTGTCTGTGTTTTGAGGCCGAGGGAGGCTCAACAACTGTTTATTAGTCTTAACTTTTTTCATTTTTGTTTTCGTTGTTTTTTTTGGCTTAATAGGGTCGGGCTATATTATATCGGCTTAGATGTCTCATATTGTTTCATTTGACGAGCAAATAATGTTTTTGAGTGTTTTAAGTGCAAGGGGGACTTTTCAAAGTCTTAAATCTTGTTGATTTTTTTTCTGCTTAAAAGGATTTTGCCGAGGTAATTGTTACCGCTTGGTAAATTATCTTACGATGTTAATTTCACAATATGTCTCATGTTTTTGGTTTAAAATGAAAAAGTGAGCCTTATTCATTATAATAGATCTAGTTTTTTTCGACATTTTCTATTTTTTTTCGTGTTGTATCGCAAATGGTGCGAAGCTCAAATATGTAATATTTTAAAGCTCATTGACTTTTTACATCTGTTGGAATTGTTAAAATTGGGCGTTAAAAGATTAGACCTTGAAAGATTTAACATGCAAAGATATCAACCGCCATTCTGTTTTAAAGATGCCTCCAAAGATATATCCAACTACAATTCATGTATTTGCTTAGTAGATGGAGGAAAACTGACTCCGACCAAGTCAGCGGACAAGCAGGGAAATGATCCACCACCAGAAAGTGCGAGAACAGAATTTACGGAAGATGAAACTCCTCGGGCCACGTTTATAAATAATTGCTGTCGACTGCTTCTGCTTTCGGACAAAACTCCTAAGAGCTACAGAGTAGCAGAGTGCTGTCTGCCTGATGTAGTGCTAGTGCACTACAAAAATGACTCATCTGTGCTTAGCGATCTGCTCCGTGACGCAGTGTATAAATGTGGAGATAAACGAGTCCTTAGTGTGGCATTTATGTGTCATAGTCAGGATTCTATGATACATTTATGCAGTTCAGTGGAAAAGGTTTGATTTTCAAATTTTCTTTTGGGTCTTTAGTTCATCCTTTATAAAACAAGAATGCTCGTATCAGTGCAAAGTCCTGAATGTTCCGACTGCCATTTAATTATAATCGAAAAGTTTTTGCTAAATTATAAATTGGCAAAAACATGAGTTTTAGGCTGATAATATCAAATTTTAATCGCTAAAATTTGAGTCGTGTATGGAAATAATTAGCTCTCTCAATTCAATTTGGATTAATTTTTTTTAGTGCGGGATAATTCGCCACATGTGAAGTATAAAATAAAATGAGTAGGTTGGACAGACTCGAGGAAGGTTTCTATAGTGGTGTGCCAATGCAGATCAAAGGATCGAGCAAAGAGTTTTGAAGTTGGTCTGAATAAAAAACTACCCCGAGCATATGTATTTCTGACTTTCTTCAAAAGTCAGAAAAAAATACTTGGTATCAATCTATGTATACTTGGCTGCAATTTCTCTATAGATTTTAAATATAACAAAAATATAAGCAGCCAGTGAAATACTTCGTATTAAACGTATCGGAAGTATACCCTGCAATACTAGTACGCTGTATGTTAATCAAAATTGCTGAGGATAGAGAATAATTAAACTTGCTAAAATAATAATCGATTTATATATTAATCGAATGACATGTTTTTGAACGGTTAAGAAATACCACCCAGCACAAGGCTTAGATCAGAGCGTCTAAAAATCACTCAGAGCAATAATCGAATATTCTAAAGGCTGGAATATTCAAGAATCTTTTTGAAAAAGTCCGGAGCTCAATAAAACGATGAACTCGACTCACCTGTTTGCGTTTATGGATTTATTTCAGTCGGAAACGAATCAACCAAAAACCAATCACCATGTTTAGAAAAACAAAACTTTTGGATCAATTGAGCAATCTCCCCCCCAATCTCGCGTGGGGGGGGGGGGGGGGGGGGGAGAGATATAGCTCAATAGGTACTTGAGACATGTTTATAACCACTTGAAAATAGTTTGAATGACATGAAATCATGAACCATATTTTCCAACGACTGTGGAAAGCCAAAATTTACAATGTCAAAGCTCAAAAATTTCATTCAAATAGAAAAAAAAAATCAATAAATCAGGCATAAAAAGCGACTTTTTTCTTTCTTAAAATGACAAAAAGCTTTTGCGTACAATATTAAGATGCTGCGGAGAACCGTTTTTGCTATTCAGATACAAGGCTAGAGCACCAACCCTGGTAGATCGCTTTCCTCGATGAGGTTATGGTCGCCTATACAAAAATTTGCAAAAAAAATCGTAAATTTCGAGTTTTTTTTTTCAAAATTTTTCTCGATACTCTTATAAAAAAACTTCAGTCGGTCAAATGATTGCGTGCTATAAACAAAACATCCATCTACTTCCGTTTGCTGACGTCTTTTTGAAGAGTTTATTCGTTTTTGCTGGGGGGAGATAGCTCAATTGGTCATTACGGGGGGGAGATTGCTCAATTGATCCAAACTTTTTCGCAGTCAATGAAATAGTTTGAATCGTATCAAAGTTTCTCAGCTGGAATAACTTGCTTAGAAAAACTTAAACTTTTCGCGAACCGATTCAGTCTAGGAATTAAGTTGAAAGATTTCCGAGGTTCATTGCTTGAGTAGCTTGCCTGCAGAAAATTGTTGCAAAGCGTTTCGATCTATGAAAACATTTCATAGATTGAATATCTTGCTGAGTTTTGTGAACGAGCTTCATGAAACAGCTCGAAAGAATTCAAAGTTTTGTTAGCTTGATTAGATTGTGAACTGTTTCCATCTATGGACTAGCTTGAAGTTTTTTTGAAGCGATTTGCTTCACGAAATAGCTTGAAACGTTTCAATGATTTGTAGCTGAAATATTTTTCTTAGAAACATTTGAATTTTTTGCCATCTGGTTCGGTTCATGAATTAACTTATTAATTTCATAGCTTGAATAGCTTGCTTAGAAAAGTTTTCGCTTCTTGATGCGCTCTATGAAACAACTCGGAACATTTCAAAGTTGCATTGCTTAAAATATCTTGCGTAAGAAAAACTTGTTTGTTTTAAATGAAGCTATCTTAGTTAAACTGGGTTTTATTTCAGCACTTTACCCAAAATCCGATCACAATTCCAGAAATTAAAAACTTCTTCCTGGGGATAAAAGAATTGATGGCTTTGGGAAATCACGATGCGACGGAAATAGATTCCGAAACAAATCTTTGTAAAAACAGAGTCGATTTCTTGGGAATGCGAGTTACGCCCGGCTTGAATGTGTTCATAGAAGACTTGGGAAAGTTTCTACAGGTAATTTGCTGACGCAACGTTTGTTGTAATAAAACTGTGTTAAAGCTTCAAACTGAATCTTAAAGTTCTTATAAAGCTAAGATAAAGGATCCAAATTAGGTGCGTGCGTCTTTGTTTCATTTTTCGTTGCTAGGTTAATGTCGGGCTCTCCCAAGACACCGGAGGCTGCGATATCCGCTTGGAAAAGGAAAAGGACTGTCTATCAGCTGACGCCACTCCTTCGTACGTCGGGCAGTTTTACTTTGATGTGGAGAAGCTAAGAGCTCTTACGATGAGTGTGCCTCAGTCCATGGCAGGTTTCGAAAAAATCAGACTAGTTGGAAAAGGGGCTTATGGCGCTGCAGTGCTGTACAGAAAGAAGGACGATGACACGCTAGTCATTCTGAAAGAGATCAACATGATTGACCTGGGAGCAGCAGAACGTCAGTTGGCACTGAATGAGGTAGTTATTTCATCATTAACTTGGCTCGGCGTTCAAATTTATCAATAGATTTTTCTTCAAAAAAATCCTAAAAACCACAATAAAAGATTTCTACGAATGAATGGAACAGTTAATCATTCAGGTAGTTTTAACTATTTGCACATCTAATTGGTTCTTTTGGCGTAATTAGGTAAAAATTCTGTCTTTGTTGGACCATCCGAACATCATCAGCTACTTTGACCACTTTGAGGAGGACGGAGTGTTAATTATAGAGATGGAGTATGCAGACGGAGGGTTAGTTGTTTTTATCGAATTCAAAGATGTCTGATATTTGGTTTGATAGCTAATTTAAAAGCAAAGTGCAAAGACTAATATTAAATCAGAATTTATAAATATGATTCCTGTTTATGAAAATGAGAGCAGAAAATAGCTTGATATTCAGTACGTCCCTGTTCAAGTGCCGTTTTTCATTTGCAGCACCCTTGCCCAGATGCTGATCCAGCGGGGTCCGGATGAACCGATGGAGGAAGGGGAGATTTTGGTCCTGTTCCAGCAGATGGTGGCTGCTTTGAGACATATACACAGTCACCACATTCTCCACAGGTATACACAGGCAATGGATTGCTCACTTCTAAGAATTTTCGATTTCAAGCTTACTCCTTTTTAGACAAAAATTATTTGAGGAAAACATTATTGCCTTGTTGTCATTTGACTTATTTAAAATAATGCGGTTTCTCTGGAAATGTATCCTCAATGATAACATCATGATATGAGACTAAAATACGTGTTGCCTGTTCAAATTGGTGACCATAGCAAAGTGCGAAAAAGCGGTATTAGCGAAATTTTCTCTTTCAGGCAAAAGGTAACATGATTTGGATTATGAGATCTGAGGGGTCAATACAGCTATATCTTGGTTGTAATTTTAAAATGAAATATGAGACCGAAAACAGTTGTAATGCTTTGATCACATAGTAACTAAAAAGATAATTCATTTATTCGGTTAGTTGACTTTTAAGCTTGTTTTTTTTAAGTGTCCATGAATGAAGTCTTACTTTTCTGTCTCCCACGAAAGTCTGAAAAATTTCTCTCGCGACCGACCACTCCTCGCAAAATGGGAAGAAAGCTTAGCCCGGGTGATTTTAAACCTACCCGAGCTATTTTGGATACAGGCTGAATATGGGGTAATGTAACTAGCAGGAACGACCACACAACTCGAATGAAATAATATTGATTTTTCAAGAGAGCCCATTGTTGAAAATTGATTGCGTCAATGAACACGGTGAGGTGAGTACTTACTAATGAGCAGCCGTGGCTGAGTGGGTAAGATGCGCGGCCTTTAAAACAAAGGTCGTGGATTCGAATTCGGCTTTTGTCACGGTTGGAGAGGAGCAGTGTCATCGGCCTCCTCAAGGTGGTGCCGGCTACGGTGAAATGGATGAAATTTCTATCCTTCACGGATAATAAGTTCCTCCCATCTGCACCCCAGCTGGTCAAGGCCAGGGGCAATGGTTCTGACTTTATCAAATCATTAGAACTGATTCAAACGAAATGAAAGTCACCACCGGGAACCCGTTCTACCTTTCCGAGGTAGCAGTGGTGGTCATGACGCTACAATCTGCACAATTTTGCCTATTGATTGTACGCACCGGGACAACGCCAACATGACTTGGCGGCTTGGGCATTGGCCTCGCTTTGACCCAGGAGTATCGGTGCTTCACATAACAGTGATTGATCATTGACTTTCTAACCGAGCACCGGTAGGAGCAGAGCGGACACTTTAGCACCTCATCACCTGTGCTAGTGTCTTGGTTTGATGCGAAGGGTTGCCGACTCAGTTGCGGTGCTGAGACGGTCGATTCTGATGCGCTGATCAGTTTCACATGCGGGTGACAGTTTTGCATGTGCTTTGTCCAACCACTGACATAGACATAAGTCTTGTTACAGTCGGACAGAGGGCAGTCGAATTTACCCTTTTTGGACCCCCCGTCGCTGGGCTGCTGGGGGATCTCTGCAGTTCTTTCAATTCCTTTAGTTACAGTTCCCTCAGTTCCTTTAGTTACAGTTCCCTCAGTTCCTTTAGTTACAGTTCTTTCATTTCCTTTAGTTTCAATTTCACTTTCACTACTAGCGGAGGTCTGGACCGAGGGTGAATGATTGTCTCTGAGATGCCTGTACATCTCTTTTTTGCTATGAAACATTCTACCACAGTTTTCATTAGCACTTTGAACTGTTTGCGACCTCTTGCCGATAGCATTTGCTTTAAAATCCCCACCTTCTGTGAACTTAAGTTTGGTTGTCGGATTATGTAACCAGTTATCCTGGTCGCACTTGGTCTTGAGCCCATGGTTGTCAAGATCAGCCCTGAGCTGCCTAACCCAATCTTTTTGCCAAACTTTAGCACCTTCAAGTAGTTCATTCAAGCTATCGGCCCCGATGTTTTTAAAGGAAGCATACAGTTGTACCCTTCTCCTGCATAGTTGGTGAGCGACTGGCGTTGTTTTTACTTTTTTATTCAATTCCTTTAGTTTCATTTCGTTTCTGGTTTCTAGCCTGAGACACATTCTTTTAGCGCGGTGTATAACCGCTTCTAATCTACCAATATCGGTGCATCTGATGACAAGGGTCTCTAAGCCGTATAGCAGGACAGGCTTTAGGAATGTCTCGATGAGGAGACCCTTGTTCCTTAGTGTCAACTTTTTAGACACCAAGGCCGGTCTAAGACGTAACATTGCTATTCTTGTCTTAGAAATGCGAGCGCTGATAGCCTTGTCAGCGCTCCCATCAGATGCTATGATGCTGCCGAGGTACTCAAAGTGATTAACCTGTTCTACCTGTTCACTGAGTACATTGATAGGGACATTAGTATTGTCTTTGGTGTTAATTACAATACTTTTAGTTTTCTCGACAGAGATTTCTAATTGAGCCAATCCAAAAGTTTTTGCCATCTCATTCAGCGACTTGGTAGCATTTGCCTGGTTATCAGAGATCAAAGCCAGATCATCAGCGTATGCAAAGTTTCTTTTCTCCCCACTGGTCTTACTTAGGAGGAAGTCAAAAAGGATGATAAACAACAGTGGGCCTAAAACGCACCCTTGCCTCACCCCTCGGTTCACTACAAAGGTGTTATCCTTATCAAGCTTTCCGATGGGTTTGGTGTGGAGCGCTTCAATCAAACTGATGATATCTCCTGGGATTCCAAAATCCCTTAGGGCAATAAACAGCACTTCCCTATCAATTGAGTCAAAAGTCGATGAAAGTCATACAAAGAGGTTGCTGGTTCTCAATCCTTCTTTGCAGCAAACTAATTGCCAAGATAGCTTGGCCCGTTGACCTGTGGCTTCGGAACCCAAATTGTTAAGGTGAGATCTTGGGCAGCTGTTTATTCACCCTATTTGCAATCACCTTTGCGAACACTTTGCCAACTTGGTCAAGAAGGAAGATGCTCCGGTAATTGTTCGGTTCTGCTCTGCTTCCTTTCTTGAACAGATTGAGCACTACTGCGTCCCTCCAAATTTGGGGAACTTTCCCCGGATCAAGCCAGATATCAGTGAAAATTCTTGTGAGAGGCTTGAGAATTATCTTCTGGAGCAACTTAAGAAGGTCACTGGTGATCTGACTCTCACCGGGAGCCTTGCCCGTGTTAATTTCTCTCAAGGCTTGTAGTACCTCTGCACCTTTAGGAGGTCCACTATCCGCACCTGGAAGTGACCTTTCAACAAACTTTTCACCCGCCGGTCTGTTCGTAAACAGATTCTCATAATGCCTTTGAAACTTCACATTACTGACTTCACCTTTGCTCCTCCTCTCCAACCAACTCAGGCGAACACTCCTAAGAGTCTCTTTCAACACCTTAAGCGCTTCACGCGTTTGTCCGAGGACGTGCTTGTCTTGAAACCCTTCCAGACCACTCTCTAACATCTCATTTTGGGCAAACTTCCTCAACTTGTTGCACTTCAAGTTTAGCCTTTTTCTTGCAGCAACCAATTCGTCAGTTCTGTTGTTTAGAACCTGACGATGTACACTTCTCCTTTCTTTAAATACCAAACGTTGTTCAGTATTTAAATACTCAAAGAATGTACCCTCTTTTTCCTCAGGTTCCGGAACCGGTAACCTGGCATGGACATTGCACACCAACTCCTTAAGAGTTCTATTGAAGCTCTCAATGGAGTCAGTGTGGGACAAGCGGTTATCTGATGTTAGGAACGAGCGACCTTGGGCAGATTTCAGACAGGTATTGATTTTGGACCGTAGTCCAGGAGACTTCCTTTTTAAGCTTTTTCTGAGAAAACTTTCACCGTCAAACGCCTTTTTGCCTGGTTCTTTCGGGGGTTAGACCACGCCTGCAAGTTTAGCATGATCTGAGTGATGCCCGGTACTACCTCCCCAGCTGGCTCTCATATCTCTCCAGACCGTGTTCCGATCGGACAAGATATAATCGATGACAGCACCTGAGTCTCTGGGGTGACGCCACGTTATTAGCCACTTAAAGGTTTCTTGAATAACGTGTTCACGACTTTTAAATCGTGTGTCGAACAAAACTCAAGCAATTTCTCACCGTTTGAGTTTGTTTCTTGATCGGCAGACCAGGCACCAGCTAGTGGTCTCATTTCGGTCAGTTGCTCCTTACTGATTCTCGCATTCAAATCACCAAATATCAGAGTATGAGATCCAACTTTACGGCTGGGGATGCCGTCTTTCATTACTCTGAAGAGATCAGCGTAGAAGCAATCAACCCGCTTTTCACCTTTCTCATCATCAGGGTTAGTGGGACTGTAACAAACGACTATTTTAAACGTTTCACTATTGATGCGACTACTCAACCAGGCTACCATAACTCGGTCACTTTGGCACCTATGCCTGGTTAGTTTCAGTTTCAACGAATTGAAAATGAGAGCAACCCCGTTTCTACCTTTCCTCTCGGGGTCGCTCGCGCACACAATAGTGTAGTTTCTACCAAGATCAGAGACTCCGTCGCTTTTTAAGCGGGTCTCGCATAAACCCAGGGCATCAAAATGCCGCTCAAGCATCAGCTGCTCTAACTCTCCTCCTTCCAACCCCCTTAGGGTCCTACAATTCCAATGTCCAAACTTCCACGGTTGCTGCCTAACCAAAACATTGTCTCGGGCCGGTCGCTCCTGTTTCCGATTGGTTTCTCTCATTGGTTTGAATGTAGGTAGGATTTTTACAGGTATGGCTTACTGGACCGTATTACCCAACCTCTGTTATTACACCGAGGAGGCGTTAAGCAAAATTCCTCATGGAAAATCGCCTGCAGTTTAGTATTGATACCAATGGTAGATGTATCATCCGACTCTCGCCGAGGTGAGATCGCTGATTACCGCAGATTGCCTGCGAACGACTCAATCCTAACACGGTGAGGTGAGTACTTACTTATGAGCAGCCGTGGCTTAGTGGGTAAGATGCGCGGGCTTTAATACAAAGGTCGTGGGTTCGAATTCGGCTTTTGTCACGGTTGGAGAGGAGCAGTGTCATCGGCCTCCTCAAGGTGGTGCCGGCTACGGTGAAATGGATGAAATTTCTCTCCTTCACGGATACTTTTTATCACACCACACGCAAAAAAGAACACATCTTAGAAAACATGAAAAAGTTTTATTCTTTTTTAAGAGTATGGTCGGATCATTCTGTGCAGTCTGCACAGCAACCGGTTATTCTTGTTTCAATTAATAGTGTAAATATAAGATAAGGTAGAACGACAGAAGATGGACAGAGAATAATAAAAAATCATAAACTTATAAAGATGATTTTTTCAGTGTTTTTTCCCAGGAACGCTCAATGTGAATTAAAATTTAATCACGGGGGTTTGGCTTCCTATTTCTTTTCAAATTCATAAGAAAGGCCATGTCCGTTCTCAAACAATATAAGTTCAAAAGGCGCGAAAACTTTTAATTTTCTCTGAAGTTTTAAATGGTGCAAAAAGTTGCGAAACTTATAAGTATATGAATATCTTTTACTCTTGATTCATGGACACTTTTCCACCTTGTTTGTTATTTAAGTTTCTTTGCGAAGCAAAGTGTATTAGTACAAACTTTTTTCCTACCTAAGTTGCAAATAAAAGTGCTACTTTTGGTGGTACTTTTGAATCGGTAGGCTGCGGTAGCAGTATGTATCATACGCATTTGATTAGTTAAAAGTTAACACAGCTGATGCGTTTTTAATTCATTAAATGAACCGAAAAAAGTTTTTTGTTGCAAATAGCAGTACAATGGTAAAGAGCTCGATTTCAGAAATTTTCAACTCAATGTATCTTGCAATTTTTTAAAAGAGTAATGAACTTAGTCAAGACTCTTATATAGGTCTTGCTGATTTTTTTTCAGGAAAAAATCTTAAAGTGTACATAAAATTCTCTAAAAACTACTACTAGGGTATATATACACTTTTTGAGTTCAATTGAAATTCATCTGCTGAAAGGGACGGAAATTGCACTCTCCAAATACGAACGTGGAAATGGCACGTAAAAACGAGAATGATTTCTAGTTTCGAAAGTGGAATTTAATTTTAAGATTTCCAGCAGAAAAAATTTTTAGCTGTTGATCCAGCTTTCTCAAGTTCGGATAATATTATCAAAAAAGCGCCAATCATAAATCGTTCTGGAAACTCAAAGCGCTTAAAGGACATCTATTTTTTTCTTTGAGATTGTTTCAACGAGTCAGTGTTTTTTTTATGTTCACTTGCATTCGTGATTCTTTTCCAATCTTCGATTTGATATATTTTGAAATGCGTGATTTATACATAGTTTGGCTTAATGCTTTCCAATTTAGTACATGCAAAGTTGTGTTTTTTTTTTTGTTTTGTGTCTATTTGGTGCTACTTTTGCTGTATCGAATTGGCAATTTTTCATCATATATAGCTGCGGTTTTGGTGGCTAGTTTTTGGGGATTTCAAGCATCCATGGCTGAGTGGTTAGTGCAAGAGATCCAAATTTTCATAGTCGCAGATTCGAATCCGACACGTAGCCGATTTTTTGCTAATTCGAGGCGTATTTCTATTTTTTCTTATTTCACTTGATAAAGCTTCTTTTTGGCCGTGTTCTCGCAATTGTTATCACTTCATTAAAAAAACGAAATATCAATGTGTTTTTACTGCCAACAATAAAGCTAGGGGCATCTTTGAAGTTTATTTACTCGAAATTTGAGGTTGTTTGTAGTTGCAAGCCGATTATTGCTATTTTCTTATTGTTTTTTTTTCGCTTAAAGAATTTGTTCAGCTTGAAATGTTTCGGCTAATACATCAGTTTAGTCGTCTATTTGCTTCGTATATAGGGCTTTAAAAAGTCTGAGTTTTTGTGTGCTGTGTGGTACGTGAAACTTGAAAAATCGAGTTACTGTTTTTGTTTGTAGCTCAAAACTTATTATGACCAAGATTTTTAAAACTCAACTGGCTTTCATCCAGATTTTTTTGGCTGAGTTACCAGTTCATAAATGTGGTTGCAATGCTAGTTCAAAGCTGACAACAGTCGACCAATTCTTTTTTAAATTGAGCAAACTTATCAAAATTTTGATATCTGTTCTGTTTTTTTTTTCAAATGGTTTTTTCGGTCTAGTGGCTTTAATATTTTTTTTTAGGGCGAGTTTTTTACTTGCAAGTTTTTTTTTTTAACTTGCAAGTAGGGCGAAGTTCTTGTTTGGTTCTATGAAAGTTTTTTATATTTTTTTTCCAATAATTGCATTCGGGATAGTGTTTTTTTTTACACTGAGTTGTTGTTCTCGGTGTTTATCCCTTAAGACCAATTCGACTTAACTATTCGTTTTTGATGTAAGTTTTTCTATATAATCTGAAAACTTTTGATGTCCTGAGCTCAAATTCGAAAAGATATTTCAATTTTGTGATCAGTTTAATAATTAATGCACGATATATTTCTTTTTATTTACTCATAAACGGCGAATTAATCCAGCGAATCCAGAGAATTCAATTTGGATTGAGGCTTTGATGTTATGGAAAAATTGTTATAGTCCTGGAGTCCCCCAATGATGACAACTTTGAATGAGATCAAACTACCCTTTGCCTGTTCAAATTTAGAGCCAGTAATGAGTTATGATTGAGATTTTTATAAGTTTTTTTTTGTAGTTTTCAGACAAAGGGTATCATGATTTTGATTATGAGATCTGAGGGGTGAACTCCGGGAAAGCTATATTAGCTAATTGAAGGTGCATTTATTATTACCTGGTTTTTGTACATTCAGAAGCTTGGCACAGTAGTTAGGGAAATTAACTGTGAACTATTAGATTGCTGGTAGATTGGGGAGCGACGCCGGAAGATGTCAGACGTTTTATTTTGAGAAGTTATCAGTTTTAGTGACCCGATTTCCTTTTTTTCTCTTGTTATTTGCAAAGTACAATTTTGCTGCGGTTGTGAAATTTCTATAAACACATTTTGGGATGTTAAACCACTTTGTTTTTCGCAGGGACTTTAAAACCGACAATATTTTCCTCACTAAAGAGGGAATAGTGAAGCTAGGCGACTTTGGGATATCTAAGATGATGACATCCACTAGAAGACTTGCCAGCACTGTTCTGGGAACTCCTTACTACATCAGCCCTGAGCTGGTTAGAATGATAATTTCTTGATTGCGTTTTCAATGTAAGCGTTTTACTGATTCGTCAAAACAGAACCCGAAGTAATTGAATGAATTAAGCTCTGTTATGGGAGGTTTTGTGCTTTTTTAAAGATTCTTTCAATGGCCGTTTCTTTTTTTTTATAGACAACAGACATTTTTATATATTACCAACTCTAATAAAATCGTGTTGTTTCAGTGTGAGGGCAAAGAATACAATGAGAAGTCGGACATTTGGGCTCTCGGATGTGTGCTGTATGAAATGGCATGCGGTCAGAGAACATTTGATGGAACAAATCTGCCTGCATTGGTCACCAAAATCATGAAAGGCCAGTTCGCTCCAATCAAGTCTACCTTTTCACAACCATTCCGTGTTCTGATTCGCGACATGTTGCAAAGGGATCCCCAATATAGACCATCGTCACATGAACTGCTTTACATGCGTTTACCAGAACTGATGAAGAATGTTCCAACAGCTGCTGATAAACGCGGAAAGTTGACAAGTGGGTTGAGTTTGAAATCGGATTTAGATGGCAGCAATGATGGATCCCAGAAAGGGTCTAATCGTGTGTCCGATTCGGCTAATGCGCGTTCTTTGGTATTCGAGTTCAACTTACAAAGCTTGAGAATCGAACCAATTGCGTTTCCATTTAGAGTCAAAATCAAACAGGTTAGTTTTACTTGATTACACTAGCCATCAGCGTAGTGTATTATTACGATACTTCTTTTTTTTTCTAACCTAACTCGCAAGTTAGTGTTCATTAAAAAAGTTCACTTATTTGGAAATGTAACTGTAGCGTTGAAAATTGCATAGCATCTTTTCTCTGCTTTTTTGGCTAGTGTTTTGTACCTATGAAGCTTCCGTGGCTAATTATTACGATACTTCTTTTTTTCTAACCTAACTCGCAAGTTAGTGTTCATTAAAAAAATTCGTTTATTTGGAAATTTCACTGTAGCGTTGAAAATTGCATAGCATCTGTTCTCTGCTGTTTTGGTTAGTGTTTTGTGCCTATGAAGCTTCCGTGGCTGAGTGGTAAGTGTGTGAGATTCTTAATCTCTAGGTTGCAGGCTGAAATCTCCAACGTAGCCATTTTTTTTTTGCTAATTCGAGGCTTATTTCTAAATTTTCTTATTGCACTGTATAGAGCTGCTTTTTGTCTTGTTCTCGCTAGTGTTTGTGAAGCTAAGCTTCGCCTCTGTGTTAGAAAATGATACCGTATTATTCATACACTAATGAGACAAGGAACTTATTGTTTTCACGGCGTAAAAATTAATGCTTCTTCAAATTAGAGGCTGAAGAGTTTTTGCTTCTACATGTCAAAACACTCGTTGGAAACATTTTACTGACGAATTAGTAAAAACACGAATGTTTTTCGAGGGCGATAGAAATGGTTGAAAGCAAGAGACGTTAAGGACTTGATGAAAACAAAGGGTTTAAATATTCATGGTATATGAGTCCTTTTTAGTTTTGCGCTTCTGCCACTCATACGGTTTGTGTGTCGGCTGAGATGAGTGTGTTCACGTGGGGAGAGGGATCGAAGGGACAGTTAGGCCACGAGAGTCTGGAGAGCTGTGCTGTGCCCACTGAGGTTGAGTCGCTGAGGGGCAAATCCATCGTCAGGTTAGTTCTGGCAAACTGTCATACCTATAAAACGCTCGAGGACTAAATCCCCTGGATAAAATCCCAAGTACTAAATCACCCATAGGACTAAATGGCCCCACAGAAAATCCCCCAGAATTAGTTTTAATATCCCCCAGACTAGTCTTTGGCAAAAGGCAACTCGGAAAATGAAATTAAACCTCGAGATCTGATTCAAATTGAAAACCATAAATAGTAGAAGGTAGATTAAATTAGAACCATAAAGTTAAATTAGGATTTCGTGAATTTTATTGTTGTCTTTCAGTGGCTTCGGTGAATTTGCAGATATCAGGATTTGACGTCTGCAAAATCGACTCAAATATACTGTGAAATCGTTCGAGATCGTTGTTTAGATTTGGCAGGTCGTGAATTGTTCGACAATCTTTATTTCTTGGTCATCGATAAAGCAATGTCTTGCCTAGGCCTGCTGAAATTTTCCGGGAAGCTCTTAAACGTTTAATCTATTATCAGTTTCCATACCTTTGTATCGGACTTGGAAAGTCAGACCCCGTACAATGCTATAATTACACGAAATGAATGATTGAAAACCAGTTTCATGAATTAAAATTAATACCCGTTGTATAATGTGTGAGGTAACAATTTTCGAAAGTTCTTGGATTATGCTTATGGTAATTTTGTTGTTGTTGTAAAGCTCGTATTTCGGTTGAAGCATTTCAATCTGCAATATTTTTGCACCTGTTGAAATAGTCCATAACTTAGAAAAACATCTTATTTTTCTGAAATGGTCGTGTTTTTTTTCTAAAAGGGTCAGCTTGCCTCAGAAACGATTTAAAAACCATTCAAAATAAGTCAGACCGCCTCAAAAGTAGTTAATACATCACTGTCATTTACGGTTATACAAGTGTCTGCTTCAGAGTGGGTGCTGGGGACGGATTCAGTGTATTTGGATGTGACAATGGCATCCTTCTCACAGCTGGAGATGGCACCAGGGGCTGCTTGGGTCACGGAGATTGGAACAACTCCTCCAAGGCCAAACTCATCGAAAGTCTCCTGTCGTAAGTGTCTTTTCCTTCCCTGCACTGCAATGTCATTTTACCAGAATTGTATAGAAATAATATTCATTTAACAGATGCTCATTACGGATCTTGTTAACTATCAACCTTCACGCCTATGATACCAAGAATTGCCACCCCCTGTAAAGAGTTAATTAAACTGCTTAGCATGAGTTAATTTTCTCGCCCCTTTTACAAATGCAATCGGGGGGTAGTTAACAAGATCTGATCATTTGTATCTGTTTGTGCAAAGAGTGGATATAGTGTCATTTGCCTGTGGTCCTATGCACGTGGCAGCAGTGAGTAGTGAGGGCATCATGTACTGTTGGGGAGTGGGCGCAGATGGCAGACTGGGTCTGAATGACTTCCAGGACAGAAATTTACCCACCCAAGTGTCAGCTCCAGTGAGTGATCATAATTTTTTCGCACAAAGTCTTTCAAATTGATTCTCGAGGTCAGGTAAATTTTGCTATGACTTAAACGATAACAGAGATATCATGAAGTGTGCTGTTAAATTTTGATATGCCTTTAACGAAATACGGAAAGTGATGCGGAAAAGTGTAAAAGAATATTAAAGTGAGTTAGGACCGATGTGGTTAACTCATAGAGTAATTTCGGATAGGGTACACCGTCTGCTCGTCACGCTGTCTTATTTTCGGCCGGATAGATTCGTGCAACTTCTTAGTCTAATACCGATCCTAATCTTACTCTTATACTTTCTAGTCTCAGGGTGTTTAACTAGTCTCTGCTAGGCTCAATAGATCTAGGGTATACTGGTTTGTTGCGGCTGCTGAAGTTCTCTTGGAGAGACAACTAATTTCTAAGTTAAATTCAAATCTCTCTGGTGCTGAAATTACAAGTAATTTCAGCACTTACAAATAAGTGGGTTGTTAGTTAGATGGATCATGATTGGTTAATATTAAATACTTTACAGTGGTAAAATATCTAATTTATCCAATCATAAAATATAGTTTAGATCAGGTTCCAAAAGTGATGAAAAGTAAGATAGGTAAAAGAAATGAAAAAAAAAACTTGGGACTGATAATTGTGCTTTCGCTGATAAAATATCCCTAGGCCGTTATATTTCACAATAATTTTTGTTTTCAAAAACCGTTTGGGGGCAAATCTTGGCTTTAGCCGTTCAAAATTTCACTCAAGGCTGTGATTCAACTTCTATGAAAACAGGTTTTTGAATGAGATAGTTGCTTGCAGGATGCAGAGGGCTTCCTAATCAGACGTGTGTTCTGTGGGATGGACGGGACAGTATTTCTGGCAGATATGGGATGTGTGCTAGCATGTGGCAATAACTCTTTCAACAAACTGGGCTTGAACAACAGACAGGGTTTTCTGATGGGCATGAAGAACTTCATCAGCAAAGTGAGATTCCAAATCAGACGTTGCATCATAGTGCATTTCCTGAAATGCGATAGTATTTATGAACTAGTATAAGCATTTAATTATGAACGAGTCTGTAAGTATTTAGAGTTTGGTTTGATCAAGATCTCTCAAATGCATAAATAGCTGTTTAGAAGTTAATCAGACTTCGAGGGTAATGACAGAAAATTAAATTATAATTGATAAAGAAATGCTTTAATAACAGCTAAGCGTTTTTTTGACATCTTGAATCGTGAGATAGCTCGCAATTTTGAATACATATAATAAAATAGAAGTTAAAATTATGTAGTTCCTGATTTATTACAACGATGCGACTCAAAAATCAAAAATATGGTCAATTTTCTTTGTTGTAGATAGAAGTAGAGAGCAGTTCAGTTCCTGTAGTTGTGAAATGTCTTGCCAAGCACAGAGTGACTAATGTCGCTCTGGGCAGAAGCCATACGGCAGTATTGGTGGAGCAGGGTCAAGTGTATCTGTTAGGCAACAATGCAGATGGTCAACTGGGTATCGGGTCTGTGAAGCAGAAAAACAGTCCAGTGCTGGTTAAGGAACTAGAACAGGAGAAAGCGGTGGTAAGCTGTTGCGCTTAAAACTTTAAGTTTAAAGAAAAAGTAAATCCCGGAGCAAGAGCAAACAAATGGAGTAGCACCCGAGATATTTGATTACGTTAATTTCTACTATTACTTGGGTGAATTGGAGACTGATTCTGTATATTCCTACTTTAATTTTTTTAGTTTAGATGTTTGGCAGCTGCACGATGAATAAGATGTGGAAGTTTTCATAGTTATCCAAACTTTTAAATTTCAGTCCCTATGTTGCGGAGAAACTTTCTCTATGATCCTCAACTCAGACAACCAAGTGTACTTCATGGGAACCCTTCCCAAACCGGCAGCCTCTCTGTCCGCGCCGGCAACTCCCATCGTAGCAAACATGGAATTCCCTCCTGCATCTGTGGCTGATAATCTTGTCATATCTGACAATGGTCTGGACAATAGCACAAATAGTGCTCCTGGAGATCCTAGTGGATCTGGTAGTGGACCTCAGATTTATAGTATCCTGAAAGCTCCAAGGAGTCCAAGTATGTTATACTTCGTAAGAGCAACTTATAGGTTGTGTTGTTGTACCGCAAGTTTTTTTGTCTTATCGTACAGTAAGTAATGATCTCAGTTAAGTGACAGTGAAGTAAACTGCAGGTTAAAGAATATTATGTGTTCTTCTCTTTGGAACAAGAAGGTATTATCAACCCCAATGTGAACAAATATTTTCCCATAACTGCTAGTAAGACGGCGCGATATCAAATTATGGCTCTTTTCCAGTTCCCCATTTGATTTTTTTTGATATTCAATTTCAAGAAGCCGGTTTAAAATGACTTTTGATGTTTTTAACTGCAATCACGGGCGGATCTAGGATATTCTCGGGGGGGGTTTGCGGATTTTCAAAAAATTTTCGAAAATTTTGTCGACCAAAATGATTTTCCGAGCTTTCCCAAAGCAGTAAAAAGACTGTTTTGGTCAAAATTTTTGCGCCGCAGGCAAAATTTAAAAAAAACAGGCTTAAAATAGCGTTTTTAAGCGGCACTTTTTGGAAAATGTTGACCGAAAAGTCGCGTTTTATTGGCGCGCGTTATCCTCTCAAAGTTAGTACATTTCGGCGCCCAAGGCGCCGTTAGAAAAAATTTTAGAGTCCGTCCGCCAAAAACGGAATCTCAAAATAGTACAAAGCGGGACCCTTTGGGTCGTCAGGGGGTCGAATCCCTCCCCCCCCCTTAGTCCGCTGGTGACTGCAATAAAACGTGAACAAGAGAACAAAGTGTTAGAACATTTCTTAAATTCAAATTGCCGTATGATCAATTTTTAAGCAACTTTATATCCAGTTTTACGAGGGCATGGGAAACTGGAAAAGAGCCCAAATTACTTGTTGTGAGTCATGAAAGTGTGTTTTAGTTGCCGCACGTTCGATTTCGAAAGACGGAATCGGAGACGTAACAAACCTGACACAGTGCTCAGAATTAGGTAAAAAACGTTCCTTTTTTTCTGAATTTCTCTCAGCTTAATGTATTTGTTTTTGACCGGAAATTATTTAAAATGTTGTAGCGAAAGCGTGTCTTTGTAAGTTCCGTTTTTGATGCACATTTGCGCTTATAACCTTTGGATTTATCATCCCGCGTGCAATTGGTTAAAGCTTCGCTTCCGCATTCATCGTGTTTTTACCCAATTATTCATGCGAATTGCAGATTATGCGAATTTTTTTCCTTCTTTCCAGCTTTTGAAATACGAATCTTCATTGTATTGCAATTAGTGATTGGAGTTTGACCTTAGGGTGCGGTGACTCATTCGCTGCCCCAGAAGCTATGGGGTTGAAACGGTACCACGATTTTACCGTGAGCACTATAGACACAACATACATATGCAGTTCTCGACCGCATTACAGAGTGCAAACTCCTTTTATAACCCCTGATGCCAACTCCTCTAAATCGGAGAGCACAGAAAGTGGCTCATCCGCCTCAGGAGTTTCAAGTCTTCGGAGGAGTAAAGTTCACGAGGCTCGTTTGAGCGTCTCAGATGCTCCGAAGATATCTATCCCTCGTCTATCGTTTTCGTGCATGGTCCCCGATAGTATGTCGATTTCAACCGAAAATACGCCAACAGGCGATCCTTACGGTTTTGATCGATTCTCGGATTCCTGTAGTCGTAAAAAGTGCTCGACTGCTCTTGGGTATTCAAAAGGTGATAAATCTATCGAAATAACCGCAGTGTCTAACCTGAAATGCAGCTAATTTCTGTTTTTGGAGAGAAAATTTTTAGATTAGGTTGTTGTGGTTTTGTTTGTTTTTGTGAGAGCTTTTTCACGCTTTTCCTAGATTTGTACTCCAGAAAATGCTTGTTACAAATTAATTTCAATTTTTTCCAACATACTTGCGCAAATTAGCGCTCAACTTTTGTGCTTCAGTATTTTGTTCAACTTGTGCTTTACTATGGTGCTCAAATGCTTTTTGGTAATTTTAGTGCATGAATTTTTCCACTCTATTCTTGCGCATTCCTTGCTAATTGGTAATTTCTATTTACACAAGCTGTTTATTTCCAAGTGGCCGGTGATGATGCAGATGCGATGACGTGATCTACAGGTCGGAGGTTGAATTTCGACACAAAGTAGTTTCATTTTTTTTGGTGGCATCTTTGCTGCATAGCATTGGCAATTAATAGTAACTATATCTGCTTATTAGCAGCTAGGGTTAGTAATTGTTAAAGCGATGTGGCGCAGATGCGAGGACGTGAGACTTCTAATCTTTTGGCCGGAGGTTCGGTTCCGGTTCAGCAGAATTTTCATTTTCAAAGCCAATTTTTACCGGTTCTTTTTTTCCAGATTTCACTTTGTTTTTAGCTTTTTAGAGCTAGTTCTTGCAGTTTTTTTGCTTGTGCTGCCTAGCCTCTGTGTACAATGACTACAGACTGAAAGGCGATACGATTCAGTTAAGAAAGCAATTAATTCGTATTCTAGAGGTCCGTTCTTGAGGTGGTATGCAGTTAGCCTTGTTGTTTCGAAGCCCAGTATTGTTACCGGCTCATTTGGTAATTTCTTGCATCTGTAAAGCTTCCTTTAGCCATTTTTTTTGCTTTTTTTTACGAAATGCAGCTCTGCCTGTGTTGAACTTTGCAACCCGCTTTTTAAATTTTTGAAATGCGCGTACTGTAGACACATACAGATCGTGATGACTCCTTTTAGTGTTTTTTTTAGGAAAAAGTTTTGTGATGTGTTTTGTTTTCAAAACTAGGAAGTTAAATCTTTGCATCACTTAATTGAGACTTCAACTTTCTGTTACTATGTTTGCAAAGGTTTTGTGTAAATTCAACGGAAATGTTAGTTTTCTGTTCATTCATTTTCCACTTTGATTTTTCGGAGGCTAATGCGTAAAGTGTCTTCTGCGTTAATTTTTTGGGCGAGTGGGTCGAATTCTTAAGCCTTTTCTCGAGTCTGTTAAGCTAGGAAGTTATAAGTTTTTGAATTTTCCAAAACTCTAGATTTGCTGCTGTGTAGAGAATTGAAATCTCCCTTTTTTGGTAACAGCCAATTACGGTATTTAACTTGCTTTTAATTTAAAATAACTTTTAATTACGCTTGCGAATAGCAAGCTTTATCAAATCGGAACGTAGATTTTTTTCAGGCTAACGAGTTTAACAAAAACAATTAATAATTTCGCCAATAGAGATATTTGGTCAAAAATATACTTTGAGGATGTCTGCGTTTTAAATTCCCGTTGTAATGAAAACTTTTGCTTATCTATGCAAATTTTGGTAGACCTGGCTACTGATATTTTTCCGAACTACTTTTTCGGCTTTAAGGCTTTCTAGTTATTCTGTAGGCTAGCTTGCCATGATATGTTTGTGATTTATCGCAATTGGCGCGAAGCTCCGCTTCGCCTTCGTGTTAAACTTGAAGCTCTAATTTTTCCCTACTAGCCATCAATTTCTTTCCTTTGTGCTACAATCTTTAATTATCAAATATTTTAAGCTCACCATATAATCTGTCTGGTTATTGTGATACAAGTGAAGTATTCGATTAAAATATTTTTGTTTTTAGTTCCGCTTTCGAACGTACCCGATGAGATTGGTCTGGCTTTCCATGTGATGGAACCTATAACTAGTCCAGTTCTAGCTGCCACTGTGTTGACCAAGTAAGTATTACATTTCAAAAGATCATAATGTACTAATAAAACAGTTGTTAGATCGTGTAATTTTTGGTGTCGTAAATGAGCCCTAAAATTTTCATTTCATAAGTCCCCTGTTCTGCGATGCCGATTTGACTTATCAAGCTTGTTTTTCAAGTGGGTTGAAACTGTTACCTCTCGGAACGTAATTGAAAATGGAGCATACATAGTTACTCTACTTTATTGAAAAAAATCAATCATAGAAGGCTTATGTACTGGCATCAGAATTTAAAAAAATACACAAGCATCATCTTAAGGTGAATCTGTAAAACTATTTGAAATTCTCGACAGTTTTTTGGTGGTGTTTTGCTTCATAGCATTGGCAGTTTATTAGCATCTATAGCTGCATCATTGATGGCTAGTGTTAACCAAATTTCAAGACCAGTGATGCAGATGCGAGAACGTGCGAACTCAAATCTCGAAGTCACAGATTTCAATCTGACATTAAGCAGAAGTTTTATTAATTCGAGGCCGATTTCTAATTTTTCTTTTTTCGGTTTATTGAGCGGCTTTTGGCCGTTTTATCGCTGGTTTTTGCAAAGCGCAGCTTTGCCTCTGTGTAATAATTTCTCCTTGTGTTTTCGCTCTGGGACAAGTGATGCAATTTCTATTTCGGGCTTGTGTCTGAAATTGAAGCAAGAAAATTGGTCGAATACTGGCGCATTGACAATTTCCCTCATCTTTTGTCTTTTTTGTTTTATCAGCATTTAAGCCATTTTTGTGCCTTGTTGAACGCAGTTGGTCCATCATTCGTGATATTTAAGGTTTAACCTTTGTTGTTTGATTGAAGATCTTCAGACTAAAATCTGCTTTATTTTATTTTAGCATCGATCTTTATTCACTCGAAACACTAAGTAGCGTCAATTTTGTAGCCATATTTAAATAGTAACCTTATTTTGAAACGTTCGAATATGTATAAAAACGTATGGATATTGAATTATTAAATTCACTGAAATGTCAAATGGATCTCGGCAAATGTTCAGTTATACAAATACTACTAACCGGTTTTGAATCAATTCATCAAACAGAACATTAAAAGTATAAAATGTCAATGGGATGTAGAATATGCTATTAACGCCGCCGAACTTCAAATATATCACTTTTTAAAGATTAGATGAGGTAAGCTTAAGTAAGACTGTTTCAAATCTGGTCTAGACAATTTCTTTTTCTCTTCATCTTAATGATCATGCAAAATAATGGTACAAATCTTTTGTTTTATTTTTATTTTCATACTCAGCCGAAAAAATTCTGGCTACTCGCTCAAAATTAATTCTGAAATTTGTTTTTTTGAGAGAGAGAGAAATAAAAATAGATAGTCTGTCGAGAGAAATAAAAATAGATAGTGGTTGCTTAAAACATAGATGCGGGCAATCGAGATCCCGAGTCGAGTCGGATGACGGTTCCGTTGAGCATCGGGTTCTCGTAAATAGACTGGACTAGGTGTGCATACTCGTCCGGGTGGCCTAGTCGTTTTGGACACAGAGCGATGTTCTTCGGAATTTGGTTGACATATTGTTCAGGAGCCTACAAAGTTGAGTTTTGGATTAACTATTCACAATTAATTATGGGATCATTATGGTAGTTCAAGCGATACATAGCGCCACTTTTGAAAAAGGATAAGGAAAAAAATTATTTATATGCGCGGTAAATTTAATGTTTTCTTAATAACTTTTTTTTATGTTGAGCAAATTGATTTTCTGAGCTCTTCCAAATCACTATGAAGTTACCAACTTTTCTGCCACGCAGTCAAATTGTTGAAAAATAGGCCAAAAAAGGGATAAAAACGGATATCTCAAAATAGTACAAAGGGGGACCCTTTGGGTCGGCAGGGGTTGAATCTCTGAGGGAGATTGGGAGAGGGAGGCGTCCCCCCCCCCAGTTAGCTGGTGGTATTGAGTACTCTTAAATAGGTCTTGCTATTTTTTTCAGGAAAAAGTCTTTAAATTTGTTCACGCTCAATTTTGATTTTTCGCGGCTCGACTTTTGATATCTTTTCAAGGTCACTTCATTTCCTTTGTTAAAAGGAAGGCAAACTCCACTATTGAACAGCAAAATTGTGAAGGTCACCAAAAACGTGATTGAATTGAATCTTAAATTGTTCTAGAAATTCAAAGAGCTTTAAGGGCATCAATTCTTTCTTTGAAATTCGGTTTTTGAGATTGAGATTTTCTCAAAAAAAGTTGACTCTTTCAAAAAGAAGTCGGTTTTAATTTCTGTTTCCTTGCGTTCATGACTCTTTTCCAACAGTCTGTTGGCTATGTTTTTGCTCTGCAGAGCTACTTTTTGTCGTTTTCTCGCTTGTGTGTGCGAGGTACAGCTTTGCCCTTGTGTATATGTCGGTTTTGTAAACCTAGCTCGGCTTTGGTCAGCTTAAGCAATTTTCTATTCTATTTAAATTCTTGATATGTTTCTGAAATGGTGCCGGCAATTGTTCCCCTAATTTTTTTTGATGCCATATTCAGTTTAAGGACGTTTTGTTGATATTTTGTTTTGGATTTTCATCCTCTTCTGTCGCAAGAATGGAACCTTGTTCTGTATTTAAATGATTCATTCGTCTGTGCATCTGTTTTTATATCGTTTTAGTTGCTAAATACGAAGCACTATCCTTTCTGTTGTGGTATAATTTAAATACGAGTCTTTAATCACCTGTCTAAGAAGAGGTGTGTCAAAGAATCCCGGGGATATGGTGACTACTCGTATGCCAAGGGAAGCTAGATCTCTTGCTGCCGGGAGTGTCATGCTCTCCAGGCCCCCCTTAGACGCACAGTAGGCCAGCTGGCCTGATTGTCCATCCGACCCAGATATGCTGCCGGTGTTGATTATAACTCCGCCGCTACCATTCTACAAACCAGAAGGCTAATTACTCATAAGTTTTCTGAAAAAAATACACTCCCCAAACTTCATGAAGTCAAGTTCTTAAAATGTAATGCATGTTCTTAAACACTATCACTGAAGGAAATTTAAGAACTGAAAATGTTTTTTTTCTAAAAGGTTGGAAATCGCTCAAATTTAGAATGTATTGGTACAGTAGCAGATTTAGAAGGGGGAGGCAATGGCGGATGGATACTATTGTACTACAATCATTTTTAGTAGTTCGAACCTAATTTTTTCCAAAAGCGCCAATGTATTCTTATTTGATCCAATGTATCCAAAAAGTGCCTAAAAACGTTATTTTGTCCTGTTTTACTTTTGATTTTGCCTGCGGAGTAGAAAGTTTTCTCACAATAAAATTTTTAGTGTTTTGGCAAAGCTCGGAAAATTGTTTTGGTCGATCCAAAACAATTTCGCACTTATTTGAAAATCCACCACTACCCTTCGAGAGAAATTCTAGATCCGCGCCTTTTGATTATTGGCGCCTAATTTTGCCGCTTTTTAGTGAGTTTTAACATCAGTTAGGCATAAGCGGTGTCAAAAAATTATACCAGACAGGAACGCTGTATTTGAAAGCTCGAACTTGTGAAACATAGGGATTTGGGTCATTCAACTATTTTATTTGATTTTTCAAGGAAATTTATTTTACCTGAACAGTGCCTCCATTTTTAGCCATGGCTTTGCTGCAATATCGCATGGCATTAAATGTCCCAATTAAGTTCACTTTCAACACATTGTAGAAAGACTTCTCGCTGTGCATTTTGTCTCTTTTTGAGTCATAAAGCAGCGAATGTGATCCAATTCCTGCGCAGTTTACATTCAAACTGATTTTACCGAATTTTTTAATGGTAGCATCAATTGCATCCGATAATTCTTCGTCATTGTTCACGTCGCCTTGCGTGAACAAGCATTTGTCAGCTCCAAAAGCAAGAACTAGTTTATCAGCAGAGCTTTTGATATCGAAAATGGAAATTCTGGCGCCTAGTTTGGCTAAAACAAAAATGGACCTCTTAATAATGTTGGAATGAAATGGAACTCTGCAAATAAACGAAGCGGTCGTATGACTTATTTATTGTTTGGAAAATGTCTAAAAAATTGAATATACTTAAGTTTAGTTTAATTCTTCATGTGTTTTTATACTAGCTTGCGATTTTTAGTGTATTAGTAGAAAGTTTCTTTTTTTTCTAGCCTAACTCGCAAATAAAAATGTTCATTTAAAGTGTTCACTTATGTCGTGGCACTTTTGCTATAACCACGATCTGTAGCATTCGAAGTTTCATAGCTATTGTTTTCTGCTTTATTCATGGCTAGTGTTTGTTATCAATTAAGTGTCCGTGGCTGAGTGGTTAGTGCGCTAGACTCCTAATGTCTAGGTCGCCGATCGAATCCGAGACGTAGCTGTAATTTTACTATTTCGATGCTTATTTCTACTTTTTTTATTGCAATTTATAGAGCTGCATTTTGTCGTGTTCTCGCTATTGTTTGCGAAGCGCAGCTTCGCTTCTGTTTTTATTATAGAATAATACATCCGTTTGCGTCAAAAATTGTAGGGTTTTGTGCTCGCCGTTTTTTAAATGTCAATGAAGTGCCGTTTTTTGTTTTTGAAAAATAGAAAATCAAATGTCGCGAAAAGTTTGAATGGTAATTTTCAGAATTCCCAGTGGAGTGAAAAGATATCTTTTGATACAGTTTTCTCAAATTGGGTGGGTCAATTTGTAACTCTTAATAAATTCTGCTACATCAAAGAGCTTTAAGGTGATAGATTTTTTTTCAATCTCTGAAGATGAATCATTTTTCGTTCTTTTTTAGTCATTCACACTCTCCAACTGCCTGATGGCTCTTTTTGTTCAATTTTACAACTAAAATAGTATGAAGTTAGCTGCAAAGTTTTTTTTTACAAAGTATTTTTCAGCGTTATAGTTATCTGCTTTAGTTTTTTGTTTTTTTTTTGAAATTTAATCGTTCATTTTCGCATTCATATTTTCTTTCACTGCTAGACACGATAACCTTCATGAAAGGTGGCTCCGCTTTACGATGTCTAGTGATTTTATTATCCTTTCGGTAAGGTAATTGCAGTCAAGAACGAGACTTTTTTCCCCGTAAAGAGTTTTGTTCACTGTATGAATGATTCGTGGTCATGATAGTCATCCAGTTTTAGCCCTTATTGTCTAAAGTTAATTATACAAAGCTAAGAGATTTTCATTTATTTATTAATGGAGTGTTGATATGTCTGAATTGATTTTTTTTTAGAAATAAAATGTTTTCAGCTTACTTGCCAGCGGTGTATTTCTGTAAACTTAGCACATTTTTTACTTTTAAATTCTTGTTTGAGAAGTGTAAATAAAATCTCACGTGTTTTGTGTTTTTAATAGACATTGAAATAGACCTCGGTTGCAAGGTTTGTTGATGTAAGTTTCAAGGTCTATGAACGCAGTGGACTTTTATATAGGCCATAATTTGTTTTCGTGAAAATTTGTTGGGGCTAAAGTTGACCTTTTTCGAGGGTTGACTTTTGTTTTTTCTTCAGTTCTTTTTTTTGCTAAAAGGAAGGCAAATTCAACAATCAAACAGCAAAAGTGTAAAAGGCACGTGTAAAAGGCACTATTAATTGCAGTCAATGCTAAGGATATTACCACAGACTATTATATTACAAACAGCACTTAAGCTTAAAGGCATCATGGAGCTGTAGCGTAGAGGCACTTCTAGTTTTGACACTGTATTTTAAATTTCAGATTTTCCAGCGAAATAGAAAATTTTTCTATTGATCCAGTTTTCTCAAATTGGGTTAATTTATCAAAAATGTGGCAATAACTTGATTTAGAAATTTAAAGACTTCTAAGGACAATAATTTGATTTAGAAATTTAAAGACTTCTAAGGACATCTATTTGTTTCTTTCAATTTCGAAAGTTGAGATTTTCAAAAAAAAATTCTGTAAACGTTCATTAGCTCTTTTCCTACTGTCTCTTAGCTGTTCGTCGTGTTAGTGGTTATTCTTAGTTTTTAGCCATTTATAGGCAAGAATAAGATGTGATGAACCTAATGGTAATTCAATTAAGAGCATTTGCCGAGTGTTCCTCGAGATTCAAGAGTGTGGTATGATCTTTAAAAAAAATTTCAAAAACGAGTGTCTATAAATCTTAATATTTGGGCTAGTAGATAAGGCCAGTGAATATTGATCAGGAGTTCTATAGTTTTAATTCCTTAAATTCGGATGTTATTTTTTCAACACAAGCGAGCTTGTGTTCTAATAGGAGTCGACTTTAACCGTCAATCGCACATTTCATTGCTCAGTATGCATAGGTGTTGAGATCGATATCCTGTTTTCTCAAGTTTTTAAGTGGCTCTCCTTTTCTTTCCTGTCTGCTAGCTTGCAATGCTATTTTTTGTGATATCTTAAGTGATGCTAAGCTCCGCTTTGCCTGCGAATGTAAAATTAATTGCTCCGATTTCAAATAATTACGCTTTCTTTTTTGAATAATTTCAGATTTTCGGCTGAATAGTTTTTTCTATGTTATATCAGCGAAGTCGCCTCGTAGTGGGGAATTTGAAGGCTGAAAATAGGTTTTTTTGCGATTAGTGTTGAGCGATGTAAATGTTTCGAATTTTAGAGATTTACGGCTGATTTCCACGCAGAGGTTCTTGTCTGCTCTTTCGGCTAGCTTGACATGCAGTGTTTGTATTGTATTTTAAGTGACGCGAGTTGAGTTGGCCCTAAAATGAAGCTTGTTATAGTTTGAACTCTCTTTTTTTGCAACCTAGGTCGCAAATATTGTTGTGTTAAAATGTGTTCATTTTGATCAATAACCAGCTATTAATTGCAGTCAATGCTAAGGATATTACCACAGACTATTATATTACAAACAGCACTTAAGCTTAAAGGCATCATGGAGCTGTAGCGTAGAGGCAGGGAAGGAGACCAGCAACAAAATAAGAGGATTCGAACCTGGTCAGGGTCGGATGTTTTTAATGAACTTTTCGTATACTAGATAAAATGCGTCCGCTATATAAATTGGGGCAGGTAAATTTCTTTTCAAAATTACTGTTATTGCTAATGCGTCATAATTGGCTTGCGTCATTTAGCAATTATGTAGACATATAATTGTTGGCGTGCGTCACTTAAGAAATTTTGTGGACTCAAAGTTTTACTCAGTCAGTTTTTCCTGGTAGCGTTATCGGTCATATTTTTGGGCTCTTTTTCCTTCACAGTAATGTTCAAATAGAAATTGACCTTTCCAGTAGGTATGATATCTTCAAAGTTTAAAAGCCCTAAAACCTTGAATGACAAAACTTTAAAGTTTGTGGAAGATATGAACGGCTCAATTGGCAAAGTATAAGATAAGTATACGTACAAAATCTACGTGCAGTTGCTTCTCCAAGACCCGATCCGCCACCTGTGATAAAAAGGACCGTCGAGCTGTCTACTCTATTCAAGAGTTGGGAGTCTCCGTCGGAGCCGTCATGTTTGATTTCGAGGGCGTTCAAGTCGAAATTGGCACTAGAGCTCATACTCATTGAGTTCTCATGTTCCGCGTGACTCGAAGAAGACTCATGGGATCTGAGGTGTTTGTGATGGTGATTTGAGATACCATTGGCGTAATTGGCTGCAGTGGTTGCTGTTGATGTCTCGAGATGCGATTTTGTTTTCCCATTCTGCTGATGATGGTCGCAGGGGTCGCCCTTAGAGTAGGAAGACGCAGAACCGTTAGTGGCTATCATAGTGAAGCAATATGAATAGGTCTGGCTAGCTTTGTTTAAATTTACTTTTGTTGTTTAATCTTGGCGATGAAATGCAGCGATCTAAAATTCACAATAAGTTTAAGCTGCCTTAAGATTGGGATCATTTGGAAATGAAAGTTGTTCACTTGTACCGCAAAGACTAACAAGTAAATTTTAATTTTAAGTTAATATAACTGCGTTTTGTTGTTTGGTAACTCGAATGACGTTTTGTCTTTTTTTAAGTTCAATGCTGCGATCTCAAATTAGTTCCGATTTTGATATGAACCTTATGGGTCAACGAAATTTATAGTAAAATACCTCCGTTTTGATTGGAAAGTTTACCCAAATTTCAGACAGATAACTGTTTGCTCCACCCCAAATTCAATGTATATTCGGTAATACAACAAAGGTTGATTGATGATCGGACATTTATCTCTGATAATTCTGATATACCGACAATATTTGCTGACTAACATGTAAATTGGATGTAAACTGATTTAACTGAGTCATAGAGGGTTGAAATGTGTAAATCATAGAGGGTTGAAAAAGATACTCGATGATTCGTTTAATGAATAATTATCGACAATCGAGTCCTTTTAGTCGATAATGATTTCAACAAATGTGGTCTTGATTTCCGGCACCTTCTCTTCGTTGTTTTGAATGGACTATTTGGTTTTTTATTATTCCGTTAACAGCCTTTCACAGTTGAGTTCACAAAACAAATATAAGCTTAAAAGATAAATTAAACTCTACAGGTATCTAAGAAATGCAAATATTTTTAGATCGAATATCGCTGTTAACTTTATTTTGGAATTGCTAGGCCAAAACAGATCATAAATTTTGTTCCAAGTCCAACAAAGCCAGTGGTTCTTTTTACCACCAAGAAGGCAAATTGTCAATGCGTGCTGTGAATGGCTAGAATATGATCATGTGCTGTTTTCACACGGAAGTTTCCAAATGGGTTATACGACTTGGCTACCTCATGAAACAACTTTGAGTGTGATCAATTCTTCCAAAAATGAGCGAACTTGAAGTCGGTTTTATCCGTCATGCAGTGTAATATGGGTCACTGTTCCAAAACAACGGGATACACGACCATCGAAGGCAAAAAGTTATTAACAGAGATTGAAACTTACCTAAATTGGTAAAATTCTAAACTGTGAGCATAAATCCAAGTTTCGAGAGTAATGATGGTTTGTTGTCTTGCAGACTTGAAAGTACAAGTTATACGAACAGAATTGAAAAGTCAGATTTGAGGGAAGAATTTGACAATCAGGGTAAACCAATGGTAGTATAAAACCAAAACTCAGTCTTCTGTTACCTTTTCATATTCAGATGGTTTTTTTTCCCCTTGGTGATCCAAATTTTCTTTCTTTTCGTGCTATTTTATAGCATTCATTTTTTGCTTATTGACCCTTGAAGGTATTTTTCGAAAGTATCCTCAATTTAGCTTAAAATTCGGCAATTTTTCAAAAATGACTACCTCTTGCCAATGCTTTGTTTCTGCGATTTTTCCAACTTTTGAATAGATTTTCTGCAGGTAAAAACCAATTTTTTGACATTAGACAATGTTGACCAAAGAGATCCGTTTTCCAAAAAAATCTGCGAAAACCAAATTAGTTCGCCATTTGCAGAATTTACCAAATGGCAACCTAAACTCACCAAGTGGTTTGATCGCATTTTTTTTGTTGACTTAGTTCAATCTTTTTTTAAAAATCTGTTTCTGATATGCTGTAATTTGCCAGCTGACTTTTATGTAGTGACTAGTTATTGTTGTAACTTGATGCACTGTTCGGATACAGAGACGCTCGGATACAGAGACATGAAATAGTTGGAAACCTGATGAAAATCATCTAGTGGGTTTAAATTGAGTCAAAGGCTCGAAGCTTTCTAATCCTTTAGTTTTCTTCCCGAAACAAAAGTTTTTACGAGCCGAGAATTTCTTCCGGATGTTTTCAAAATGTGCCGAATTGCTCGAGGTCGAAGTTGAAATTGCTTCATATATGATAACGTAGTTTTCAGCACTTAAATTAGATGTATTTTTAAGTTCAACGAGGCAGTGTCGAAGGTAGTTCGGGGAGATAAGTGGTATGAGACTGGTAATTTCAAAGGGTGTTTTGTGGAATTCCGGAACCGAAAACAATAAATCAATAGTTTTCTGGAAATATATCGGCTAAACTTCCGCTTTTGCAGAGTTGAGTGGCCTGGTGTCAAAGTGGGCATTTGAGTGGAGTGCTCAAGTTCTAAAATTTTAATAAACAAAAGCTTCAGACAAAAATTTTTGATCATTCTGACCTCTAAGTGGGGAGGATCTTTCTTTCAAATGGTGTGCTTAAGCTTTTTTTTCAATTTTTCAACTTAATATCAGGTGCAAAAAAATCACAAGAATGCGTCGACAGATATTTCAGATTAAACGACATTCAAAAAATTTGAAAATTATTGTGCCTAGAAAAATCGTTATAGAAATTTTTGCTTTTTAGCCTTGTTTCGAGCAAACTTCAATGTAAAGCGCCAGAAAAACGGCTTTACTCCTGGAAAAAAAATTTCGAAACTTCATTTAGGCCAATAAAAAATTTTAAAACATAATTTGAATAAAAATTTGTGCTCAGTCTTCCGACTTAAATTTGAAACAAGACTGCTCGTAAAAACTGGCCTCGAATAGGTTTGATTAATGAAATATTGACAAACTCTGTATGAAGAATCGTGTTTGGAATTATTAAGACCAATTAGCCTCCTTCAATTTTATTTGGAACGTTTTTGTGGTGCGGGATAATTCGTCACGCGTAAATAATGCGCGTTTAACTTTCATCTTCAAAGTATGACAGCGCTCTAATAGTCACAATAGTCTGTTGTGAGTGTTTCACAGCAAGCATTGAGGCAGGAAAATTTAGTGATCAGTGCGCCCCTTCTGGAATCACGAAGCTGAATGGATCGATCCACCGAGGGAAATGTTTTTCAGAATTGGTTTGAAAAAAAAACCACCCCGAGCATATATATTCATTACTTTCTTCGAAAGTCGCAACAAAAAAAACTGAACATTTTTAATTAACGAAAGCTTTTCTTGAAGTAACTCTTCCTGCTTACACAGCAACCGGCTAATCTTGTTACTTCTTGTTTTTATTCAGCTTAAGTGAGTTTTGCGAAATTTTATGGGCCAATTTGCTCTGTATTTTCTCGTCATGTCTCTAGTAGCCCGAAAACATGAAGTGACAATTATCATAGGCCATTTTTAAAAATTTGCCAACTGGTTATTTGCGAGGTTTTGATTGGAGTATTTTCTCGTGATTAGGTGTTTATTACATAAGTAAAGGCTTGTTTGAAATTGCGAATTCACTTTTTTTTTCAACCTATCTCCCAGAAAGTAGTATTCAGTGCGGACGTTCAGTATCCGAGGTGTGCTTGTGTTTAACCTGGTGGTTTGTGTGCGCCATATTGGAGGTTGGTTTTTGTAAGACATCAAGAGAATATAGCCCAATCGTCCAGGTATGAAATTATAGGTGTCCGGCAGTTTTTTCTCAAATTTTTAATTTTCTTGCTCTTTTTACAATGTTTGCTTGTGTTTGATAAATGTAGGTCTTACTTGTTTTAGTTGCAATTTAAAGTCTAAACGAATGCAAATTACACTTTCCTATATCAAAATTGCACATACGGGTAAGTTGAATCCTTTTGATTCAGTTTTCTTAATGTGGGGTATTGTTGCCCTACAAGATTCTTGTAATTCCAAGAAATTTACGGTTATATTTTTGTTCCGACTATTGAAAACGGGGAGGAAATTTGTATTTGGTGTGTTTAAGCTTTTCGGTTTTCCACGAAAAGTTAGGTTCCACAAATAATAATCGGAATGAGTCGAATGATATATCATATTAAATACTTTTCAGTCGGTAACAGAGAAATCGCCAGTCACTTGCGAACAGTTCTAAAAAACGCGGATAAAATTTTTGTTCTGAAGTTTTTTCTTTTGTGTTTGTTGCTTCTGATTCTTGTTTCGGATTTTAGAAAAAATTGTGTCAAAAAAATCATTCTTACCTCAGAATTACTTAATGCTCTGAGTTTCTTCGTTTGAAAAAAAAAATCATTTTTATATCTGAATTAATTGTGGTCCTAATAAGACCACGTGTAATTCGGTTATAAAAATTGCTTTTTTTTTCAGACAAATGAAAAAATTCAGAGCAGCAAAAAATTCGGTAACAAGAATGATTCCTTCTCACAAATTTTAAAATTTCAGGACAACTTTTCCACATTTTTTAGAATTGTTCGTACTAATGCTGGTAAATTTGGTCTCACCTTGTTTTTAAGTGTCAAGGAATGTAGTTTTTTTTTTCAGAAAAAGTTCTTTAAGTTTGATCGCACCAAATTTGATATGTGCAGTTGGTTTTTTTTAATGAATGGCACTGTTATAACTGGCTGTTAGCGATTTTTTTTTCAATACTTGTTTTTGTAAATACGGTTTTTTTTGTGGTATACTGAGGGAAATACTGGAGACGTAATCATTTCACATTTTTGTAAAAACTTTGTTAAAGCCTAATTTTTTGGGAGGTTTGACGGTCTCTGACCAAAATAATAGGAATGGTGCACCTACAAATGTTTTTCAATTGAATTTTTAAAAATGATTACGCTTGTGCTGAGCAACAGTTATCAAGTCGGAATATAGTGTTTTTAATATAAGCAACTTGTATTACAGGATCACTGAATCAATTTCTGAAATCTGTAACTTCATCAAGCAACAGACATATATTGAGCTTGTCTCCATTTTAATTACCCGTTCTGTTTCAAATTTGCTTTTTAGGTTGGTTGTAAATTTACCATACCAACTCCGGCCTCCTTTTTTTTTTCCAGTTCCGAGAGAAACGGCTTGATCTTTAGCCTACTGAGGATAAATGTCGCTTATATGGTGGTATATAGCTAGAAGCCAATAGCCAATTGAGAGTTTGAAAAGTAAATAACAAAGAATTACTATTTCAATTCTTGTTCAGCTATTTTTAAAAGTTCAGTTCTTGAAACTTAAGATCGTGTTTGTAAAAAAGTTGTGTTTGCGTGAATAACTGTAGTCAGAGAAGTATAGCTTAAAATCCTATGATGAAACGAAAAGTGCAATTTGACTTTCATAAATTCAAGTTTCATGTACCAGCAGTTGTGTCTATGCCTGAAATGTCAAAGGATGTGAGTTTAAATCCAGCTTGGTCTTGTTTTTTTCTCAAATTCATATAATTTTCTTTTTGTAGGCGCGGACTCTCGTTTTAATTTCCATCGCCCAGATGTTGGCATTCGAAATACTGGCGTTTTGGTTTAGGGTTCCATGATTTTGATTATGAGCTTCAAGAAGCGAATACAAATGCATATTAGGAATGAGCATAGCTCCAATAATTGTTCTTATTAGCTGTTTTTTTTCTACTAAAATATTTAAGAAAGATCCGCTGTATCATTTTTACGAAAGTTTTGCTGAATCATTTTTGCCGGGTTTTAATGGAATTATAAACCGGAACGTTTCAATGAGAATGTCCCTATTCCAATCTATCTTATTCCATTCTAACCTATACTAATCTGCACTCTATTCCAGTCTATCCCATGCCAATCTACTCTATGCCAATCTACCCTATACCATTCTACCCAATCTTTTATATACAGATCGATTTGTTAAAGATAACTGAGCTGAGTATCTCTGTTTAATACGCCGGTGAGCGGTTTAAGATCGCTGCGCGGCGATAACCGGCTCTAGCTCTCGTATAGAGTCCTACCCTCTGATGGCAAGCTCGCAACAACTTGGCGCGAATGCGTCAGCACTATTGTGCTGTTATCATTCCGTCTTAACTTAGGCGTGGGGTAAATTGCCAAAGGGTGAAATAGTATCAAGTGTAGAATGTATAGGGTAGATTGGAATAAGGTAGATTGTCAAAGGATAAATTGGTATATTGTGTAGAATGGCATTGGTTAGAATGGTGTAGAGTAGATGGGTATAGAGTAGTTTGTCCTGCTGCCGCCAGCACTGCCGAAAAGCTTGAAAAAAAGCCGAAATCACTGAAATTAGTGCAGCCAAAAAATTTGAAAAAAAGGGCCGTAAAATTTCTGACTCGTCATAATTTTAAAGCTCATGTTATGGAGTTGTTGATTCCCTTTTAAAAGTCAATGAGTTTTTTGAACTAGTTAGTGCGCGGTAGTAAAACAGTGCCAAAGTACAAAAGTGCCGAAAATCAAAAATCTTGTTCAACAGTGGCGAAAATTATTTTGAATACTGTTTTTACTCATCAAAAATCACTGACAAGTAATTATGTTCAAATGGATGGAAGCCGAAAAGACGAAAATGGCCATTTTTGTTGATAATGCTTGTTAATCAAACAAAAGTGCACCAAGCGCGGCGTCATAAATTTTTCTGAACAAACAATTACCTCATCAGACTCATAATTTCTTGTCGGCTTCGCTCCAAAATAAAACAGTATTCACGCAAAATTGCTAACGATTCAGAAAAAGGGGTCTAGGACAACCAACAAGCCGATGTGACTTCAAGCCGATGTGACTTCAAGCCGAAGGGAGTTCAGGCCGAATTTAAAACTTTACAGGCTCCTCAAAGCATTGTTTTTTCATCTGTAAAATGTATTTTTGAAAAGTTAAGGCAATTTTAGTCTAAAATCAGCGTTATTCATGACAACGAACCCCTTAGGAATGTCATCCCTAATTTACATCTGCGGATTTTAAAAACGCTTTCAACAATGTTTTAGTTTTTAACTTTCCTTAACATCGATTAGCGGCTCAAATGTTATGAAAAGGCCAAAAACTGGTTACAAAAATCATGAAATTGAGAAATTCTTCAAAACAGACTTCATTACCTTTTGAGAAAATGTTCGACTTGAAGTCCCTAATTTTACGATTTCGGCTTGAAGTTCCGACGGCTTTATGTCCGGCGCCTCACAAAAATAACTCGCAGAGATGATCAATTTTTAGACTGTTGAACACAATTCAGTTTAGGCACTGTTGTATTTCGGCACTGTTAAACGCACCGTTCGTGCGTATTTATGGAGTCCGTCGTATTCTTTCTTAAATTAGTTAAGTTCTCCAAGTTCATTGTCATTGTTTATTGGTCATGTTTATTATTGCAGGAAACTTTACTCACAGGTTTTTCAATTCGAACAATATTGATAACATCAATTTTTATTCCTGCCTTTACAAATTTGTACCGTAAAACTATTCAATGAAAAGAATTTTGTTTTTTATTTTGGCTCGGACCATAGTTTTTAAGGGACCTGCCCCTTTTCTTTATCAGAAAACATTGGTATATAATGCCTTGTAAAATGCTGTGCCCAAAACTGTCTAGACTGACTATTATTACATTAAATAAATAGGGTTTGGTCTTCCGGCTAGACAAGAAAGTGTGTTTTAAATTTAAATAACAGAGGTAGATTTTATAGTTGAATTAGTTACCTTTGGACCGCCCCCAAGTTTCTAAATAATGATAAAATGGCTGCAGTTAAATCATTCCGAAGAGAAAGGTGGTGCATGAATTGTCGGATTGCCGGAAATCAATATTCTGAGCTTCATTAAGAAAAATCAAGAAATGTGAGAGGTATCATGAGATCAAATCTTGAACTAAATTTGCTCATTTGATCTGAGGAATCTAAAATCAAATAATTTTCTGCAGTCCGAAGTTCATTCAAGAGGTTGAGTTTGTTATTCGGGGCAGTGTTAGGCTTAATAAACAGTTGTTATGGAGATATAGAGAGTATCAAATGAAAATAAGAATAGGGGTCGTCGACTTCTGAGTATGTTGCCTGAAGTATTAAATGAGGTTAGTGCTATTTCAGTGCAGTGTAAAGGATGCTTGGGGTTACTGACATTTTTGCACTTTCAACTATCAAAAGGCGGCTGCATTTTTTAAAAGACCTCGTGTCAAAGACCTCAAATTGCCTTCAGACTGTAACGGTTTATTAAAATATTTTTGTTTGATGAATAGCGTTTTGAAATCAATTTTTGAGCGCTGGGATTCACCTGAAAATTTTTACCCTGGAAATCTTTTTCTTAATTGAGAGTAAAAAATTAGGTACTGGCTAGCGAAAACAGCTCCGTAATCTCATTGTTTCGACCACTCGAAGATTGATAAGGAACTACGACATAGGGTCCCTTGTTAAGAAAATTTTCCCGCCAATTTTAGTTGCCTCAGAAAAAAAGCTCGTAGGGGGTTAGGTTTGGTATCTTATTGAATGGATTTACTCGAGGTTCGGATTCTAAAAAATTTCTCTGTATCGAAAAAATTTGGTCTGGATAAATACTGATCCCCATTTTTTTTTCAATTTTATCGTTAATCTAGATATTATTAACACTCATCCTTGTGTTAGTTCACCTAATTTAATGCATTTTTCTTAAAATTAAATTAATAGGAATTTAGAAACAATAAATGATATAAAAAAGTTGAAGTATTAAAAATTTTAAATGTATCTTTTTTTTAAAATGTTGTCGGAACATTCTGTACTTCTTGCATGGTTACCGGCTATCCTGGATTTTTTTGAAATGAGTTGAATTGGGCATTTGAATGATTGATTATTTAAGAAAAAAGTTCGAAGACTTTTTTCGACTTTTTCGAAGACTTTGTAAAATTGTATTTAAACTCTTCGATTGCTTTTTTTCGTATAAACGACCGTGGTCGGATGATTTTAGAAGGCTAATAGGTTATTCTTTTTCTGTTGAAACGTTTTTTTTTTAGTTTTGTCCTTGACTCGATTCCGGACCAATCCAGACCTACCTCTGGCCTAGTCCAACAGAATGCATCGAGCAAGCCTTCGAGTGCAACTTCAACTTCACAGGGTAAAGACTCGGAAAACGTTGTGGTACGGTCGGGCATGACGAGGTACAAGACAAGTATTCGAGAATTGGTCTCTTGTGGGTTCCTCTCACACTCGGTGTTGTTGTCAGTGGAAACAAATGCGCCGATGCCGAGACGAAAAACAAGACGCCGACGGGTCAAGAGGCAAAAAGAGTGAGAGAAAAGACTTCATTTTTGTTATTTTATTTCATGTTTGTCCAAGCGAGCTTGCGATCGTAGGTCAATTTACTCTTTTTCTAAACTAGGATCTTTACACGGGCGTAGCCTTGTGTGATAGTTACTTTTTCCCCAACTACTTTTGGTGGCACTTTTGGTGTTTTTGAATCGGTAGGCTACATAAGCAGCATAATCCCATTTGATTTGACATTTGATTAGTCATAAGCCAACTCAGTTGATGCTTTTTACATTTGCGATCAGCTTAGTGTGTTATTACGAACCTTCTTTTTTCTAACCTAACTCACAAATAAAATAGTTCATTAAAAGCGTTCACTTATTTGGAAATTTCACTGTAGAAGTGGAAATTGCATAGCATCTGTTCTCTGCTTTTCTGGTGGCTAATGTCTGGCGTCTATTAAGCTTCCGTGGCTGAGTGAGTAGTGTGTTAGACTCTCAATCTCTAGGTTGCATTTTCGAATTTCAGAAGTAACCGAATTTTGCTAATTCGAGGCTCATTTCTAATTTTTATTATTGAACTTTATAGAGCTACTTTTCGTCGTTTTCGTGCTTTTTGTCGCTTCGCCTCTGTGTTTAATTCATGAATTGAACCGAAGAAAGATATTTGTATCATACAACAGTATAATAATCAAAATCCCATTTAAGAAATTTTCCAGCCTGATTTTTTGATCAATTTAAGTTAATACATTAGAATTTACTACATGCAAAGTTAGTGTAATGCCTTTGATAATTACATTTTAAATTATTACATGCAAAATTTGAGTTTTTTGTGAATTTTAAAGCTCCTGAACCTTTGCAACTTTCTCGATCGTGTTTTCGAAGCTGCTGCTTCGCCATTCCATCCAAAAATCATTTATTCAACATCTTGAACTAAAAATATTTTGCTTTATTCTAATTAGCTATTTACACTGCGAGCGTAGTGTATTAGTATGTCTCTAATTTTTTCAACTAATTTCGCAAATCAAAGTGCTCATTTGGTGGCACTTTTGCTACAATCAAAATCTGTAGCATAGGAAGTAGCATCGCATCTGTTCTGTACATTATTTGTGGTTAGTATTTGCCGATCATTAAGAATTCGTGGCTGAGAGGAAAGAAAGTGAGATTCCAAATCTAGAGTTCACAGGTTCGAATCCGACACAATAAAAGTTAAGCTAAATTCGAGGTTTATTTCTACTTCTTATTTCACTTAACAGCTGCTTTTTTGTCGTTTTTCGCTAGTGTTTGCAAAGCACTGCATCGTTTCTCAAATTCTAGCACCATCTCAAAAAATATTGTTCACATTTTTAGATCAAATGATAAACAAACCGAATTGGTCAAAAATTTAGTGTGTTTTACTCTATTCAAATTTCAAATGAGCTCCAGATTTTTACCCAGAAGAGATAACTCAGAAATTAGCTCTAGGAAAAAACTACCTTCACATCTCAAATATCGTCCTTGTTAGAAATCGAATAATGAATAAAGTATTTGCTGTTGATATAACCTAGCCAATCAGTGCGATCAGTGTGTTATTCTCTTTGTTGCAACATCGCAAATTTAAGAAATTCGGGTGGAAAACGTAAAAAGACCTTCAACCTGTTTTTAGTCCATTTTAGATGTTTTAAATGATGTTTAACCTGTGATTGTTTTCAAAGTTATTCAGGGTGGAAATTTAGGAAATTTGTTGGGCTAAATTATGCGCGATTTTATACATTTGATATTCAATGCGTATGAATGATTTTTTGAGTGGGGCGAGCTAATTCATGTTTCAAAGCGCTCAAATAATAATTCTATTATAGTTATGTTTACACATAGAATACCTGCAAAAGTAGGGTTAAAACTTGATTACACAAATGTTGAAATATTTTTCTGTTCATTTTGCTGTGTCATGCGGTAACAAAGGTTACATTTTTTTGTTTTCAGCCAGCCACTTGAACCAACATTTTTTTCATGTTTCTGTTGTTTTCTCTGCAGCTACTCAAAGAACAGGAAAAAGTTTTTGACATGTTTAAAACTATTTAAGACTCAGATTGGATGATAATTTATAAAATTTTGGTCAAGTCAATCCTAACTCGTTATAGAGGTATTTCTGTCGTTGAAACGTCCTTGAAAACAGTCCTAGACTGTGAGATAGAATTTATGAACTATGACTTAATTTGGAATAATAACTTAATTTTCTCCGCATAAAGCTCAAAAGCAACATGAGAAACAGATGAAAAAAACATGAAAAACTACCCGACATCAAAAATCGGTTGAAGAAGTCCGCAAAAAAACAAGCATTCGGAAATTATAACTAGTTCGGATGATGCATAGTATTACGATAAGCTTAAACTTGAATTATTTTTTTCCATCGGTTGGAATAATCGTATAAGACATTAACATCTAGCTTTATCTGCTTTTGACGCCGGGACTAGTTACGCTTCCAACTCTCTTATATATTCTGATTGCGCTATTCAAAGAGTAAATTAAAGCTTTAAGGTGCCCAAAAAACAATTTCGAGTCGATAGATTTTAACTAAAAAAGTGGGAAGGAACTTTGGTTGTGTTTTAGTTTTTTAAGAGTCGACAAATGTAGTTCAGACGCTTATACAGTGCTGATTTAAATTAACCGGACAAAACGCGTTAAACTTGAAATTTAAAACCCGTTTTTCTCAAATTGGGTTGAGTTTAGGTGAAAACTTATGAAGATAAAACTTGCTTAAAATTTAAGCAGAATTAATATGATGTAATTTGTTTAGCAAAATCCGGGCCAATAAATTTACAGCAAAAATGGGTCATTTTGGCTTTTCTTAGTTAATCAAAAATTACGCCAAAAATACTCAGTCGATCACATACATAATTATATCAAAGTGAGCCCCTTACGTAGTCCAACAAACTTTAAGAAGGGTATATTCTCCAACACATTGTATAAGTAAATTTATTTTTGCTTGATAGACAAAAAGGGTCGTTTTTACTATATAAAATACCAACTTTTTGTTTAAAAACAGTTTGTTGGGCTACGTAAGGGGCTCACTTTGATATAATTATGTCTGTGATCAAACGGGTATTTTTGGCGTAATTTTTGATTAACTAAGGGAAGCCAAAATGACCCATTTGTGGGGTAGAATTTTGGGCCCGAATTTTGCACCCATTAATTCACCCTAATTACACCCTATTAATTCTGCTAAATTTTTAAGCAAGTTTTGTCTTCATAAGTTTTTCACCCAATTTGAGAAAAGCGCGTTTCAATTTTCAAGTTAAGCTCGGTTTGTCCGATTAATTTAAATCAGCACTGTATAGGTCGCTATGATTTTTTTTCAGGAATAGTCTTAAATTAAGTTCAGTCTCAAATTCATTTTTTCGCGGTTTGACTTTGATTTATTTTCAAGTTCAGCTCATTTCCTTTGTTAAAAGGAAGACAAACTCTACTATCGAGCAGCGAAAGTGTCAAGGTCACGAAAACCGTGATCGAGTTCCTAGTTACGAAATTTAATTTTCAGATTTCCCACTGAACAAAAAAATTCATCTAGTGATCCATTTTTCTCAAATTGGGTCAATTTTATTGAAAGCGTTCCAGTCTGGAAATGTTCTAGGAATTCAAAGAAATTTAAGGGCATCTATTTCGAAAATTGAGATTTTTTCAAAGCAAGTCGGTGTTTTTTGTTGTTTAATTGCGTTCATTGACTCTTTTCCAACTGTCTCTTGGCTATGGTTACTTCTGCTCCACACATAGTCAGGTATCTGTAATAATCATTGGATTGGGCCAAGGGATAGACCATTTAAAAGCATTTTTGCTTTTATTCTATCGAAATTTAAAAATTATAAAAAAAATTCTGTGTCCAAATAAAGCGGTATGGTTTTTTTTTGGTTTTGTGGTGAAATTTCGAATTAATAAAGCGAGTGAATAGGATTAGCAGCTTCGATTTATTTTGAATAAAAATTAGTTTTCGAAGTATCTTTAAGCGCCTTTTGTGGAATACTTTTTTTTTTAATTCAAAATTATTTTTTTGTTTTATTTTTTTTTCAGCTTTTTTCATTTTTAAAATAAGACAGTTTTTGATAAAGTTTCATTTTTGAAATGTTATAAGCTGTCTTTCTGTGCTTCTTCTCGCACTAAGCACAAAAAAATGACGACTCAACAAACGGCACCGTCTGCCCTTGTTTGCTTCTGCATCTGGTGAAATATAAATACTGTTTGTTGCAAAATTGATTGGATCTAGCCTGCAATTTTTCTCTCCCAAGGAATGGTAGCCATTGTATGGGAGTGCGTTGTTGTATTTAACCAATTGTTCGGCTGTTTTAGTACCTCGCCGACCGTAGAAGCCTCTGCGACTTCGGAATTGGTACGGAAGGAGAATATTCGAGGGCATCACAAGCGATACAGTAGTGCTGCATCTTCAGCCGACGGAGAGTACACTACGGAAGCTGATACAGAGACATCGGGCCCAGAAGAACACACCGATAACAACTTGAAGGACACCACAACTTCCACGTTACACCCGCATGTAACCTTACCACCTACCAAATGTATCAGAAATAAATGGAGAAGTTCTTTCTTTCTTTTTCTTTCTTTCTTTATCAATACTCTTCTACTCATTTTCTCGCTTTTCTTTAAAACTAGTTTTCAATCCTTAATAGTTTGTCGTTTTCAAAGGTGCTTTTCTTTTTAATATATGTTTTTCTGCATATTCATGGATAAAGTTTTTCTGCGATTGAAAAGAGGGCTGAATAATTGAAAGAAACGAATAAAAAGTGTCACAATAATAGCTTAAATGGTTCAAACGAGGGGCTTTTTTTTCCATTTACCTCCACCTGCAAATTTTTACCAGAAATTTTTTTGTTCACGCTGTCCGGTTGTAACAAAAACTGGCATGCGGGCTAATTATGTCACGACAAACATGTTTGGTCTTCATGCGTAACCTGACAGAACCCTTCGATACACCATAAAATTGATGCTTATGTGAGGTGGGGAAAAAGAGCCAGACGAGGATTATTGTAATACTTATCGGGCTCTAAATCTAACACATTCTGAAAGTACGAAGATGTCAACAGATTGTTACACAGGTACCAACGTGGCTTAAAAATGAATTGGATGATGACTTCCTGCCGATTCCCAGTTCTACAGGTCCTGACTCTTGTTACTCCTCAGAAGAAGAATCGGGGCTACAAACAAGGCCAGCAACATCTGCAAATGGTAATAAATTGACTTGAAATCAAACCGATGTATGCCTCTCGATCAGATTGAAAGATGTACCATTTTACGAGATCGTTTAGTTGATGATATTATCCAGGGTCATATGTTCCTATCATTCGAATTGTTGGCAATTTGAACTAGCTAATTCGAATTCTCCAATTTGAAGCGTTCTTAATGAACATATTGTGTTTTAGAAGCAAAAAGAACGCAGCGTGTCAAAAAAGATCCCAATTTGCGGCCCAATGCTGCCGATAATTCAGCTGATAAAAGTATGAAACTTATAATGCAGATCAATAGAAGTCTCAAGACTAATTATATAACCTTAAATCGTCGTTAATTTAGAAAATCTAGGAGGGGCAGCGCAGGCAACAAGAAATCAGCCGAATCTAAACTCTCTCTACATGTCGACGTCTAATTCGTCAGCCGATTTGATGCTAGTACAAGATAATGCCGTTGCACAAGAGTAAGTTTCTGTCAATTAAAAACGGCAAGCTGCGCTAGTCTTCAGTTTACCACTTATTAATGCGAATCACTTTTCAAAACATTTTTCTTTGTTTAAATCCTTTGTTAGTAAAAAAAAATCATTAGTACGATGAGCCCTGTGTTATTCGATACACTAAACAAAAAGACTTGCGTTGATTGTTAGGAGATCCGCTAAGACAGCACGAGCGGCTGTTTCTCGTCCAACGACTGGAAAAGGTCCAAGAAGTAATAATACAGCCATTCAGAAACCAGGAACTGTAAAGCGTAATGCAGCGACTGTTGCAGCGTATAACGGAGGAGCTGCTAACATAAACCGACCGGCCAACTCACAGAACCCAAAAACGAGATCTAATTCGAAAGACAATCAAGGGAAGACCGCAATAGCTAATTCGAATGCAGCTTCAGCGCAGCAACAGGTTCGATAGTTTGGCATTGAAAACGAAAAGAAAACGCTACGTAATTTGAGACAGGAGTGAAACCCGAAATGATATGGTTCTTCTGACAAATTTAATTAGGAGCTGTCACTTTCGTTGAAGTGATTTATGGAAATTAAAAGACTATTCTATCAATGGGCAGTGCCTTTGCTTGTCATATTAATATTCGGTCTCTAACATCTTTCCACAGCTTCTGATTTCAGTTATATACGAACCAACCCTAACGTTTTCATAGGTTAGCAAGCCGACAGCGGTAGTGGCTCCGGTGGACTCGAGGAAGGAGAGAGGCGAAGTGAATGTGAAGAGTACAAATGAGAGGAGACTGGAGGAGGAGCTGGCTCTGATGAAGAGGGAGAAAGAGGACATGCAGAGAATGATCGAACAGATGAGAGACGTAAGAGAACATGCAGAACAGTTTCCTTATTATATATTAAATAGTTTTTTTTATATGAAACTCAAAAGTTGAAAAAAAAAACATTCCAAAAAATTTAATCTCTTTTTAGAGTCTCTTTGCAATCAATGGCACTTTTCCAACTGGCTGTTAGCTGTGTTTTTTTTTTCAAAACAGTTGTTTTTTGTAAATAAGTTATTTTTGTGGTATACTGAGGGAATTACGGGAGACGTAATCAGTTCACATGTTTTTACACAAGCAAAGCTTGTGTGATAGTATGAACTCTTTTTTTTTCCAACCTAAGTCAAAAATATTAGTGTTCATTTTGAAGAGTTATTTTATTGCAGTATCTACATAAGATCAATAACCGCCTATTACGTACAGCCAATGCTAAGGATATTAACACAGACTATTATATTACAAATGGGACTTTAGCTGCGAGGTATCATGGATATGTAGCGTAGAGGTAGGGAAGGAGACCCGCAACAAAATAAGAGGGTTAGAACCTATGCAGGGTCGGATGTTTTAATGAACTTTTTCGGATACTAGTTAAAATGCGTCCGCTCTATCAATTGTAAAATTACGCATGTTAGTTGGTAATTTTTTTTATTTTTAAGAGTAATGAACGTAGTGAAGACTCTTATATATGTTTTGCTGATTTTTTTTTCAGGAAAAATTGAAATATTGATGCACTTAGGTATATATGCACTGTTTGAGTTCAATTGAAATTCATCTGCTGAGAGTGACGTTAATAACACTTTTCAAATACGAACGTGTAGCTGGCGCAAAAACTCGTGAAAGATTTCTAGTTTCTAAAGTGGAATCTAATTTTTGAATTTCCAGCGGAATAAAAACTTTACATGTTGATCCAGTTTTCTCAACTTGGGTTAGTTTTTATCAAAAAAGCGCCAATCATAAATCGTTCTTGAAGTTCAAAGATTTTAAAGGGTATCTTGAAATTCGAAAGTTGAGACTTTTTCATGAACGATTTTTTTTATGTTTACTTGCGTTCATTACTCTTTTCCAATCTTCGATTGGCTATATTTAGCATATGTAGCATTCTTGACTGGTGTTTGTCAGTTGTTAAGCTTGCGTGGCTGAGGGGATAGTGCGTGAAACTCAAAATTTATTGCAGTAGGTCGCAGCTTTGAATCCTACACGTAGCCGAGTTTTTGCTACTTCGGAGCTTATTTCTCTTTCTTATTCCACTTGACAGAGCTGGTTTTTGGCCGAGTTCTCGCAAATGTTTGCGAAGCACAGCTTCGCCTCTGTCTGAAGTCTGTACTTTCGTCAAGCAACCGACATATGTTGAGCGTGTCTCCATTTGAAATACCCGCTGTTTTTCAAATTTTTTAAATAGGTTGGTTGTAAATTAACCATACCAACTCCGATTTCCCAATTTTTTTTTAACAGTACCGATAGAAACTGTTTGATCTTTAGCTTAGTAAGGGTAAATGTCGCTCATATGATGGAATATAGCTAGAAGTCAATAGCCAATCTAGAATTTGAAAAGTAAAAAACAAATAACTAGTATTTCAATTCTCTTGTTCGGCTATTTTTACACTAGCGAACTTTGTGAGCGTAGGTGTAATAGTACGATTTTTCTTTTCTTTTCTAACCTAAATCCTAAAAGTTGTTGCCACCCTTGGTGGCACCTTCACAGATTTTTGATAGCATATGCTTTAACACTCGTATAATAATGAGTTAACGCAGCTGGTGCATTTTTAATTCATCAATGAACGAAAAAAGCTATTTGTTTGACACAACATAATAATAATAATATAAACTCGATTTCAGAAATATTCTAACTCAATATATCTCGCAGTTTTTTAATGCATAATCTATACATAATGTGGCTTTAAGATTTCCAATTTATTACATGCAAAGTTAATGTGGATGCCTTCAGTTTGTTATATTCCAAATTATTATTTGCAAAACTGTGTCCTTTTATATTTGGTGCCACTTTTGCTGTATGGCATTGGAGATTTATTAGCATATGTAGCCGGGATGGCAGGGTGTAAAGACTCCAGTTCTTGGGGTCGCAGGTTCGAAGGCGATACGTAGCAAAGTTTTACTATTTCGAGGCTTAACTATATTTTGTTTATTTCACTTTATAAAGCTACATAAGTAGTTGTGTTCTTGCTAGTGTTTGCGAAGTGCGGCTTGCCTTTTTGTTCAAAAATCTACTTCAATTTTGTTTTCTCTAAACGGGATATCTTTAGAAAAAATTGCCAATAATAAACAATTGAAATTCGAAGAGTTTTAACGTGTTATATTTTTTTTCTTCGAAATTTGGAAAATATTCAAGAAGTTTTCGATTAACAGTTTTTGGCTATGTTTAATTTTAATGTAAAAATAGTCCCACAACAGTCTTTTATATTTCCAGCAACTAGCCTCAGTAACACCTGCTCAGGAAGTTTCGCCTATGACTCTTGCCACACCTGTAAATGCCTCTCCGATCGAGGCAGCGCTGAGGGAGGAGTTGACCCAGATGCGAAACGAGATCCAGAATCAGGGCCGTACTCTGGCAGTCAATGCGGCTGAGTTGAGTCGCATGCAAGAACGGATGCACGGGACCAGTGAGACGCCTAGTCATGTAAGTTACAGGTTTTCCTAATTTCAGGTTAAAAACTAGTTTAACAAAAGCACTGAATCATATTACCTTTGGTTCATATGAAATCAAAAATCTTTTTGTAGTTCATTGCACTTGGTGTGAATGTAATGCAATTGCCTTTGTAACCTATAGTCAGGGTTCAAGTCCCGGCCGGACCTTGTTTTTTCTCAGTGTCTAAAATTGAACATTTTTCTGGAAAAAGTTGATTAGTCGGACTATAGATTGTCGGCTCATGTTTTGTCAGCTTTGTTGCCACACCAAAATTTTTTTGCGCTGTAATCAATTTTAATTGTAGTTTCAAGTGTCGTTGATTAACTCCTGTAGTTTTTAAAGTTTACTATCTTTTTGGTATATTTGCCGTTTTTTTCTTGCCTTTTTTTACCGATCAACTTTATTCTGCTTAAATGTTTTTGGCTCTTGTTTTGTCGATTTAATAAACTTATTTTGCATCGCTATAATGATTAAAATGATAAATAAGAATAAGATTAAAATGATTATTCATGTTTTTATTTGATCAGGTCAGCTGGTAGTAAAAAAAAGTACAAACTTTTTAATCGCTCAAAATTTTTTTTGTTTTAAAAATTTCTTTTGACATTTTGTTTTGGTTTATTGGCGTCTTACCACGTGTTGTTGGCTTAGTGGACTTAGTTTGTCGGCAAAAAATCTGTAAACTTGCTTCATACTAGTGATTGTATTTCGTCTGTTTTTCTGAGAATGAATTTTTCGTATTTCCAAAAAGTGTTGAACTTTTTTATGATAACCATTTCTTTTGGAATTTTGTTTTCGTATCGGTTGGCGTCTTGCCACTTGTTGTTGGCTTAATGAACGCTCGGAAAATACTAAAGTTTTGCTTAATGGTAGTGTTTGTGTTTTTCGTTTGTTTTTCTGAAATTGAATTTTTCGTATTTTCAAAAATATGTTAGATTTTTTGACAACCATTTCTTTTGGTATTGTTGTTTTTGGATCAATTGGCGTGTAAACACGTGTTGTTGTTTTACTGGACACTCATAAAATCCTTAAAGCTTGCTTAATTGTGGTGGTTGTTTTCTCGTCGGTTTTTCTGTGATTGAAATTTTAGTTTTTCCAGTTTTATTTCCACTTAGTCGGTAAGTTTTTTTTTCACTTAGAGATTTTCATCTCACTGACCATTTAGTTACTAGTGATCTTTGTATCGCAAGTGATGCGAAGGTTTGCTTCGCCTCTGTGTTTAAACTATCTTATCCTCTTAAACCGAGAACGATATAGTAGTATGATATAGGTCAGTATGATTTTAATTTAAATTTTTTTATCCGGAAAAGTCTAAAGTTGTTTCAAGAGCAAATTTACTTTTCGCGGTTTGATTTTTGATCATTTTCAAATTCAGGTTATTTCTTTTGTTAAAATGAAGGCGAACTTCACTATCGAACTGCGAAAGAGTAAAGGTCTCGAAAAACATGACCGAAGTCTAATTTCAAAAATGGTATTTAATTATCAGATTTCTCAGTGAAAACAAATTACCTTTTGATCTAATTGTCTTCAATTGTTCTAGAAAGTCAAAGAGTTTCAAGTCCATCTGTTTTTTTTCTTAGAAATTCGAAAGGTCAGATTTTTCAAAAAAACCAGTCAGTATTTGTTATTTTCAATTGCGTTCATTGACTCTTTTCCAACTGTTGGTTGACTTCTTTTATTTCTTAAGCTTGCGACTTTTTGTCTAACAGAATCATTGATAGCTTGATTTATAATCTGTTAAAACTCAGTGTCTTAGTGTCATTGAACGTGAGGGAACTTTTTTTAGGTTGTGTGGTTTTTCGTGTGGTCAATGAACGTAGTGAAGACACTTCAATCGGTCATGATGATTTTTTTGGGAAAATTTGGTCATGCCTGATTTGATTTTTGGGTTTTTTTTTCCAATTTTTTTTTTCGTTTGCCGAATGGAAAGTAATTAACGCTCTACAATTAAGCTAGAAGAAATGGAGCGAAAAAAATGGGGTTTTAGGTCCGGAAATGGATTTTAATTTTGAGAATTCATGCGGAATAAACAAATTACCAATTGATCGAGTTTCCTCTAATTCGATTCAAATTTTCTTTTTGATCCAGTTTTCTCTAAGTGGGGTTGTTTTAGGAAAAATATTAGTATGAGTGTAATAATATGAATCTATATTTTTCTGAATCAAAGTCACAAAGAAAAATGCTGATTTGGTGGAATTTTAGTTATAATCACGATCTTAAATATATAATTTTGCTCTGGAAGTAACAGAAGCACAAAAGAACGTGAATGATGCTCAGTTTCGAAAATGCGTTTCAGATTCCAGTGGAGAAAACTTATTGAACCGGTTTTGTCTATTCCTGTTAGTGTTTTTTTTTCTATTCCATGCTAGCTCCAAATTTAAAATATTCATTTTTTGCTGTTCATTGATATTTTTTCAACTGACTCTTGCCTCTGTATCTGATTGCAAATGTTAGAAAAAATGTTTTCCATTTTTCACAAATGATTTATTCGTATGTTTTGAGTTCTCAATTAAGTTTTTATGAACCATTAGTGCATTGGAGAATGGCAGGGTCTTGCCTTCTCTTGAAATGTTTGTCAAATATGAATTTTTAGCAGTATTTTTACAGTAAACTTTAACTATTAAAACTTTTACGTCATACTGGCAAATACTTTTGGTTAGCAAGTGGTGCAATGCTCCGCTTCGCCTCTGTTAAGAACTTTCAAATGTATTTCGATTTACCGAAGTGTAAGTTATGTTGCTACAAACAAGGTCCATCGAATGATTAGTCAAATAATAACGAAAAAATAACAATTCAGCTCATATGGCTGCAATGGATATGTAATTTACTTCTTCTGCATAGACTCACGGAAACAAATCGTCGCTTCCGAGTCTGTCTTCTGACTCGAGATCAGAGAGAAGCGAAGACGACAAATACGGATCGAGTCGGACCTCGTCTGGCAGACCGAAAAGCAAATCTAGCAAAGTGTGCTCTGTTTCATAACTTGCCTTCACCTATCTTATCATTGTCAGTGAGCAGTGTGCCTGATAGTATGACAAAATCAGATTCATATCAGATAAATCAAAAGTAGAGATAGTATAAATTAGTTTGTGTCTCCACATATCAATCATTTTCATCTTCATGCTGATGTAAACTTGAACTTTTTAAATTTACTCAAACTTTCATTTAGATTCAATAAACAGATGCTGAAAAGTGCAATATGTTCGATGCAATTTTGTGAATAGTAAAATGTAAATAGAATGTAATTATGTTGAATAGTTAATTTAAAAGGTACATAGAAATCATATGCATAGAATTAAATTTCATCTAAGTAATTTTGATTGCAATCAGCCGTAATTTGCCTATAACGGCAAGGAGCGATTATAAGGCTACCTGTATTAGCGTTTAATGGTCAGGTTTGAGGCTTATAAGCGCGTTAGTTGATTGGAGACCAGTCATTATAACCAGAGCCGGAAAAATAACAAAATGCCATATAGGTCTGTGGTTATTTTGAGAAGGCGCTTCCGGTGGAATTCCTCATGCGCGAAGAACCGAATGCGCGAAAAAAAAATCAGCCAATCAGATTTCAGTAATATGAAATTTAAAAGAAAGTAAACATTTCCAGGGTCTGGAGTATTGATATTGGCCGATTATAAAAACGGCAGAAATATGCAAAATTTTCAAATTGTCATTGACCGCCGCAAAATTGGGACAAATTTTTTATTTCAAGGGTTTCGTAATGACAGAAGCAAAAAATTGCTCCATTTAATTTATTTTAATTGAATGGGAATTGCTTCTTTTTAAAAATTGACTTTCGGCTAATTTTGTTTTCGGTGTTTTGCACACGAGTTTTTTTCGCGTATTCGGTCCTTTGCGCATGAAAATAGCCCCCTGCGCAGTGATGACCAGATTATAGTATATCCGTTGCATATCCTTTTTATCTGCAATATCTTTTAGCTTACACTGCCCGAAAACCTTAAAACTCGTTTGATAATAACATCGTATTGAAATAAAGTTTCAGCTCTGAAAAAGAGTTTTTTTTCACATCCAATTTTTTAGGAAATCTATTATAGAATACTATAATCAAAGTATTATAGAATTTTGAGGATTATATTCTGTAATCGACGTTAATAGGGTCATCACTGCCCCTGCGCTTCCCAGAAGTGGAACTAGCAAACACAAGTTTGCAAATGCCTTCTATCCCTTGTCCTCAAAAGCGGCAGCGCGGGGGTATTTCGAGCAGTTTTCCCTTATTACTTGAATGTTTTTGCCGTTGTGTCATGGCGACGAATTGTAGGATTTAAATAAAGCGCTTTTTCGCGCTATTCTCGCAATTCATAGCAGGCGATAATTGGTAGCGTGGAAACCTTCGATCATATGCAATAAGAAATAAGGTGAAAGGTTTAAAGAGCAAAACAAAACAAAATCAAAACTGAAAGACTGATGCTTGACGATAACATTGTCATGCAATCGTAAGTTAGGAGTTAACCAATCAGGATTGGTTTTTCATGTTTTGCCACTTCGGCGGCGTTTCATCGGACAGTTTTCAAGTGAGTTTGATGTTCGATAGGCTTTGTTTTTTTTAAGCTGTTTTAGTTTGTCGATGGTAGGTTGAGAGCATCCAACTCCTATCTGGAAGACCATGTGTTTTTCCTTCGCGCATGAGAATAGCCCCCTGCGCTTCCCAGAAGTGGAACTAGCAAACACAAGTTTGCAAATGCCTTCTATCCCTTGTCCTCAAGGGCAGCAGCCCTCCCATTGGTCAAATTGTTTGTTTTCTGTGTCATGAACGTGTTATGAATTATAAAGGTCTTCGTGATTTTTTCTGGTCAATTTTGGTCAATTTTGATTTTTTTGATGTTTGACTTTGGGTTCTTTTTAAGTTCGGTCCATTTTTTTACTGAAAGGAAGGCAAACTCCTTTATCGAATAGCAGAAGCGCAAAGCTCACGAAAAACGTGAACAAATTTCAGCTACCGATTTCCCAACGGAACTATAATTTTCGTAATGATCCAGTTTTTTTCAATCTGTAATTTATAATATATTTTCAGTATTTTTTCTATACAGTCAGTATTTTTTTTCTATTTTCTTGTGTTCATGACTCTTTTTCAACTGTCTGTTGGCTATGTTTGACATTTGAATTGAGGGTTTTAATTGAGAGAAATTAATCCGTCTGTTGGCTATGAAAATTGAATTTTTTTGAGGGGAAAATTGATTGGTCGGGCTTTCGATTGTTTGCTATTGCTTGTCGTCCTAGTTGCCCCATTATGTGTTTTATTGTGCTGTAAGCAACCTTCTTTGTAGCTGCAAGTTTAGATGCAAAAGTTTTTTTTTCGACTCAAAGAGTGTTTACTCAAAGATTGGTGGCTTAGTTGCCCCATCACGGATTTTTTGTGTTGTTAGCAACTTTCCTGCAGTTTCTTTACCAATCCGCTTGTGTCGTGGTGTTTTGCAGGAATATCGGAGATAAAACTTGTTTTTGATTCTGGAATTTTTAAAATGTTCTTTGGTTTCATTGAATCCATTAAATTTTTTGAATTGTCAGTTGGCGGATGTTTTGACCTATGATCTTAAAAAAATCGCCTGAATTATAATTGCATAACTCGAATATGTTGTAAACAGGTATATGACAACTGGCCGACTGGATTTCGAGCCGGAAGGAGTTCAGGCCAAAGTTAACCATTTACAGATGAAATTTAGCAGTTTAAAACGCTAAATTTCATTGGTAAATTGTTAATTTTAACGAAGTCAGCAAGTTTTACATAATAATCGCTATTCGTAACAATGCAAGTTAGGTAATAATAATAATCGTTATCCGTAACATGGTACCATTTAAGGATGTCTGGATTCTGAAAGTCATGAAACCCTTCAATGTTTTGTGTAACATCATTAAACATCAGTTTAAAGCTCAAACTGTATGAACAGGTCACTCAAAATTAGAAAGTCCATAAAATCGAAAATTGCTCCAAAATTCAGGACTTTTTGAGGAATTTTTCGGCTTGAAGTTCCCAGTTTTGTGATTTGGCTTGAAGTTCAGTTGGTCAAATGCCAGAGAATCGATATAAACGTATATTCTTGCTTTCGTACAAAATATTATGTTCGTTTAAATTGAGACCATAATCTTAACTCAATTATTGCTCTCAGACTTTTTGCTAGACTTGAGCCGCCCCAAATATCAATCAACCCTGCAGAACTTGATGGAAAAATCCTAGCCTCATAAAAAAGTTGACAATTATTTGACAAATCTGATCTCTTATATCTTAGGTTCTAACATATCTTAGGTTCTTTCATATATATTTGTCGTATGTGGTATAAATTGTACAACGTTTTGCAGAGTTATAGGTTCTGTCAGTTTCAGACCTGCGAAGGTAACTGTCTTGTAGTTTGAAGCCTTCAAGCAATCGACTTCTCGTACTATTTTATATAAAATTGAGTGATGTTTTAGGCAAGTTCAGCGCGCAATTTATGAGGTTTAGCAACTGTATTTCTGTTTTTTTTGAACTATCTTGTTACTGCCTATCGTTTGGCGGCTTATGCTTATTTGCCGCAGCCCAGACAGCTGCTGTGTACGCTACGATTGAGACTATAACTAACAAACATTTTTTGTCGCCCACTGGTTTTCCGGTGTTACAAGCTGTGTTGCACGCCGGTTTAGTTTTTTCTTGCATATTGCTCTTTTGCAGAGCTCTATTTAATTCAAGTAGTAAATCTTTTGCTTATGGTTATTAATTTGGGATTTCCATGGCTTTTGAATTTTGTCTAAAATGGCTCAAAGTTTTTAGCAATGGTTTGAAAATCATTTTTATTGGATCCCTGTTTGATTCATTATTTGAAACAAGGCATAGCCAAAATCACAAAGTGGCATGCTATCCGTTGCCACATGGGTCTTTTTCTTTTTTGAATCTGATGTCTGAAAATTGAAAATCGGATTATTTGTTAATATATGTTCTTTTTCTACTCAGCGATAATTCACTTAGCGTTCCAGATATACTCCTAGTGACTTGAGATAGAATGACAACAGAAAACGGATTGTTATAGAAATATCAAACCCATGATTTGAAGGTCCATAGTTGACCTCTCTTCAACCATAGAGAAGTGGGCTGTTAGTTTTTGCTTATGAGTTCACGTTTCGCTTGGCGTTCCGTCGGCTCAGCTTCCTGACAAGTTACTCAGATGATATCGTATGATGAGAACTATTTACGGTTTGGCGCGGTTTTTTGTTGCAAGTTCTGGGCTACGATAGTATCAATAAGGTTGTTAAATTTGAGAAAAAAAAATGAAATTTGTGGCTTATCTTTTATTGTTCCGTGTTTTTTTTTTCAGCTCAAATGTTTCGCATGACTTTATGTTTGCTTTGTTTGTAAGGAACGCATTTAAGACCTATTGTTCATTGAAGACTGTTAAAACTATTTTGTGTTTTTCATTGGAAGTTCTGTGTTTCCAAAAAATCTAAATTGTTTTGTAGTTTTTGCTTTCGGATTTTTTCATGTTTCTGCTCTCATAAAATTACCGCGAGCTAACTCAAGGTCTTAAGGCTAACAGCTTAATTTGTTGCGGTACAATTCCAAAGTGTGAAAATTTCTGATAATTTTAAATATTATTTATTAGTATCAATTAGTATCAATAAGGTTGTTAAATTTGAGAAAAAAAAATGAAATTTGTGGCTTATCTTTTATTGTTCCGTGTTTTTTTTTTCAGCTCAAATGTTTCGCATGACTTTATGTTTGCTTTGTTTGTAAGGAACGCATTTAAGACCTATTGTTCATTGAAGACTGTTAAAACTATTTTGTGTTTTTCATTGGAAGTTCTGTGTTTCCAAAAAATCTAAATTGTTTTGTAGTTTTTGCTTTCGGATTTTTTCATGTTTCTGCTCTCATAAAATTACCGCGAGCTAACTCAAGGTCTTAAGGCTAACAGCTTAATTTGTTGCGGTACAATTCCAAAGTGTGAAAATTTCTGAAAATTTTAAATATTATTTAAAGCTTTGTATTTCGGGCTGTATCATTTTTGAAAGAAATATTTACTCAGCTGGTCTAGTTTTTTTGTTTTTGGTTTGAAATTTTCAAATTAAGTATGAATCAAATTCTGGAAATTTCTTTTTTCATCAGTTCCATGTAATTAAGTATCTCATTTTATGCGGACCTCCGTTTGGCCTGTACTAAAAGTGTATATGAACAATGATAGCCGGTTACTGTGCATGTAGCACAGAATGTTCCGACCATAGTCTATAAACAACTTCAAAAAAAGTTTCAAATTATTGAGGTTTTTTCTGCCTGGTGTGATAAAAGGATCTGACATAAAACTATCTAGGCATATTTGATAGTCATAGTAATTTG